AGCAGATAGGAAACAACAATTATTCCAAATGGATATTTTCAAAAACCAGTTCAGCACGTTCTACGTACACGTTTTGAGGCTAGGAGGTACTATTGACCTCATCACATCATTATCACTAGCACTGTCTGTATGTGCATGCACTGCTCAGCTATGTAGCTTCAAAAACTTGAAAAAGGCCCTGGCCCTGAAAATCCACGGGGTCAACTCCCACGTGGCCGTGATCTGAGGTGACCTGGTGACTAGCTAGACGGCTGGAGAAAGGTGATTGCGAGATGAACGCCAGTCAATCAACCAAGCAAGCAAGTAGTTTCGGTACTCTTTGCTTCGGTAGAGCGCTCTCCAAAGCTTCTTTTTTTTGTGCTGTCAACTGTACTGTCAATGGTTGACCCATGCATGCTGCCGGCGAGTCGCGACGCAGAAGAAAAAAACGAACGAGCACGAGTGGCGTGGATGATATCGATCGGACATGCTCATGTTGTAATGTTATGTGCATGCAGCCAGTCGCCTGTATGCACGACTCGGGCCTGATATGTACCTGTAAAGCCTACTAAAGGCTGTATGGTTCGACAGTTCGAAGAGACCCACTTACCCACGTGGGTGTGGGTGGAGGTCTGGTGGAGGTGTGTCTCCTAGTCCTAGGAGTAGGACTGTATGACCGTAGTACAATGGCAATGATTATGTACATGTACAACAGTCATAATGACCAAAGGCATGATGTAACATCATCATCAGCTAGGCTGTCGTCAAAAATGTACAATCGTCATTATGCACACGTACACGTACAGATTAGCCTATTAAAACTAACTTCCTTATAGCATTACAAATTTCGGCCAGTGTAGCACGATGTTTCATACAGCATCGCGCTATGTTCACAAACTACTAAAATTCTACTACATGCACATGTAAATAGCCAATGCCATGATCATGATTGATGCATGACAACATTTCGCTCAAAGATACAACGCTTCCATGTAATTGGGCTCATTGCCCGTTTGGTATTGCGAATTCAAATAAAAAGAACGACAACAACAACAACAACATGGATGTCAACACAGTCTACAAGTAGTTAGTTGTAGTGCCAGACCAGACAGGGCCGAGGCGCGATGTCGAAAGGATGGTGGGGAATGGAGCTCGACCCCTCACCCTCACCCCCGGGCACAACGGATGGCACCTGGTCATAGTGAGAATGCCAGGCATGCAGCCATGTGACCCGCGTGGCAATCAAGACACTATCCGGCAATAGCCCAGTATAGACGTCCCTATTCCCAAGCCATGCATGCACCAGTCTCTTGACGACCACTAAAGAGTCCCATGCCACCCGCCACAGGAGGAGAACATTGAAGGTATGAAGGAGCCATGCTCAACGTTACTTCACTGGATGACGTGTTCACCGTGCGCTCGCTTTTTCTCGCCTTTGGTAGAGTGACGGGAGGATAGCTTGACGTGTGGGGATCAACACTTGTGTCAGAAACAAGTTTCACATCATGATCGGTCCAGAATCCCTTCACCCGTGGCAGGTCGGCACAGGGGTCGGGATCTGCAGTGTTGGCTGGTCGATGGCGAAGGCCTAGCTTTGCCGGTTAGGGGCTGCAATCATGGGTGGCTCCACCTCCACATCATGATGTACGCGGTCATGTAGCTCCTTCATGCACGGCGCGATGAAATCGGCAGGGTCATTACCCCGCATATCGCATTCAAATCTTGACCGCGACTTGCAGATCTGAGCATGGTCGAAAGAGAACCGTCTGACGAAAGCAGCACTTGAATGCAGTGTGCATAATCATGAGGATAATTATGACTGTGTTGTTGCTACGTTGGCAAGACGATCAAACTGGTTAGTCCAGTGAATGCTTGGACGTTCACCTCGGACTCTTCTGTCTGAGCCAATATAGCGGCTCCCATGCTAGACTGATCTTATATTCTGGAATCTACCAGCGGACTGATTTGAATCACAATTATCTTCCTTATTGGCCATGGCCCGGGCCACTGTGGAAATAAATAATAATAACTGGTTTGAGGGAAAGAGACAAACGGGAAAAGTCTGAAGAAAAAATCGACTGTCACCACCAGGACTCGAACCAGGGACCCTCGCTTGTAGCCAGCGATGCTCTAACCACTGAGCTATGGTGTAGTCGTCATCCCAGCAGAGACCGTTCAACGTTTATATAATAATAATAATAATAATTTGAAACTCGGATGTTGAGCCATAAATAAATGTGGAAGAGAAAAGGACATATGGATACGAGTTAAGAGTAACTCTCCATCACTGTAACATGATACTATATACAGTCAGAAAGTGCAATAACTAGGCACAAAACTGACAGAGTACTGAAACATTCGACGTCCTGACACCTAGCTTCAACACATCTCCGTAGCGCTAACCGACAGCCTTCCAACTTGGAAGGTTCAAGGTTATGGAAAAGACCAAAGAGGGGAAGGCAAGCGCAACGAAAACGAGCAAAAGCTACAGTCCCAACGGAACAAAGAATGTCGATTGTTACTGGACGATGACGAGACCAGTACGATATTTGACAAAGCGGTCTAACTACAATTCGAAGCAGCAAAGCAGCACACCACCCAACTTGGGTGGGTCATAAATATCAAAGATAAGTAAAGAAAGGGAAGCTTTGCGAAAACGAATTGTACAAGCCGAAAGCCAAACTCCTACAGTACTCCTCATGCATGACATTGTGATGGACTAGTTGACTACAAAACAAGTTGTTTCACACGACGTACGTTTCGCCGTATGGATCGTGACGGCTCATCAGGTGTGCAATTTGAAACTCGGATGTTGAGCCATAAATAAATGTGGAAGAGAAAAGGACATATGGATACGAGTTAAGAGTAACTCTCCATCACTGTAACATGATACTATATACAGTCAGAAAGTGCAATAACTAGGCACAAAACTGACAGAGTACTGAAACATTCGACGTCCTGACACCTAGCTTCAACACATCTCCGTAGCGCTAACCGACAGCCTTCCAACTTGGAAGGTTCAAGGTTATGGAAAAGACCAAAGAGGGGAAGGCAAGCGCAACGAAAACGAGCAAAAGCTACAGTCCCAACGGAACAAAGAATGTCGATTGTTACTGGACGATGACGAGACCAGTACGATATTTGACAAAGCGGTCTAACTACAATTCGAAGCAGCAAAGCAGCACACCACCCAACTTGGGTGGGTCATAAATATCAAAGATAAGTAAAGAAAGGGAAGCTTTGCGAAAACGAATTGTACAAGCCGAAAGCCAAACTCCTACAGTACTCCTCATGCATGACATTGTGATGGACTAGTTGACTACAAAACAAGTTGTTTCACACGACGTACGTTTCGCCGTATGGATCGTGACGGCTCATCAGGTGTGCAATTTGAAACTCGGATGTTGAGCCATAAATAAATGTGGAAGAGAAAAGGACATATGGATACGAGTTAAGAGTAACTCTCCATCACTGTAACATGATACTATATACAGTCAGAAAGTGCAATAACTAGGCACAAAACTGACAGAGTACTGAAACATTCGACGTCCTGACACCTAGCTTCAACACATCTCCGTAGCGCTAACCGACAGCCTTCCAACTTGGAAGGTTCAAGGTTATGGAAAAGACCAAAGAGGGGAAGGCAAGCGCAACGAAAACGAGCAAAAGCTACAGTCCCAACGGAACAAAGAATGTCGATTGTTAATGGACGATGACGAGACCAGTACGATATTTGACAAAGCGGTCTAACTACAATTCGAAGCAGCAAAGCAGCACACCACCCAACTTGGGTGGGTCATAAATATCAAAGATAAGTAAAGAAAGGGAAGCTTTGCGAAAACGAATTGTACAAGCCGAAAGCCAAACTCCTACAGTACTCCTCATGCATGACATTGTGATGGACTAGTTGACTACAAAACAAGTTGTTTCACACGACGTACGTTTCGCCGTATGGATCGTGACGGCTCATCAGGTGTGCAATTTGAAACTCGGATGTTGAGCCATAAATAAATGTGGAAGAGAAAAGGACATATGGATACGAGTTAAGAGTAACTCTCCATCACTGTAACATGATACTATATACAGTCAGAAAGTGCAATAACTAGGCACAAAACTGACAGAGTACTGAAACATTCGACGTCCTGACACCTAGCTTCAACACATCTCCGTAGCGCTAACCGACAGCCTTCCAACTTGGAAGGTTCAAGGTTATGGAAAAGACCAAAGAGGGGAAGGCAAGCGCAACGAAAACGAGCAAAAGCTACAGTCCCAACGGAACAAAGAATGTCGATTGTTACTGGACGATGACGAGACCAGTACGATATTTGACAAAGCGGTCTAACTACAATTCGAAGCAGCAAAGCAGCACACCACCCAACTTGGGTGGGTCATAAATATCAAAGATAAGTAAAGAAAGGGAAGCTTTGCGAAAACGAATTTCTTTCTTTACTTATCTTTGATATTTATGACCCACCCAAGTTGGGTGGTGTGCTGCTTTGCTGCTTCGAATTGTAGTTAGACCGCTTTGTCAAATATCGTACTGGTCTCGTCATCGTCCAGTAACAATCGACATTCTTTGTTCCGTTGGGACTGTAGCTTTTGCTCGTTTTCGTTGCGCTTGCCTTCCCCTCTTTGGTCTTTTCCATAACCTTGAACCTTCCAAGTTGGAAGGCTGTCGGTTAGCGCTACGGAGATGTGTTGAAGCTAGGTGTCAGGACGTCGAATGTTTCAGTACTCTGTCAGTTTTGTGCCTAGTTATTGCACTTTCTGACTGTATATAGTATCATGTTACAGTGATGGAGAGTTACTCTTAACTCGTATCCATATGTCCTTTTCTCTTCCACATTTATTTATGGCTCAACATCCGAGTTTCAAATTGCACACCTGATGAGCCGTCACGATCCATACGGCGAAACGTACGTCGTGTGAAACAACTTGTTTTGTAGTCAACTAGTCCATCACAATGTCATGCATGAGGAGTACTGTAGGAGTTTGGCTTTCGGCTTGTACAATTCGTTTTCGCAAAGCTTCCCTTTCTTTACTTATCTTTGATATTTATGACCCACCCAAGTTGGGTGGTGTGCTGCTTTGCTGCTTCGAATTGTAGTTAGACCGCTTTGTCAAATATCGTACTGGTCTCGTCATCGTCCAGTAACAATCGACATTCTTTGTTCCGTTGGGACTGTAGCTTTTGCTCGTTTTCGTTGCGCTTGCCTTCCCCTCTTTGGTCTTTTCCATAACCTTGAACCTTCCAAGTTGGAAGGCTGTCGGTTAGCGCTACGGAGATGTGTTGAAGCTAGGTGTCAGGACGTCGAATGTTTCAGTACTCTGTCAGTTTTGTGCCTAGTTATTGCACTTTCTGACTGTATATAGTATCATGTTACAGTGATGGAGAGTTACTCTTAACTCGTATCCATATGTCCTTTTCTCTTCCACATTTATTTATGGCTCAACATCCGAGTTTCAAATTGCACACCTGATGAGCCGTCACGATCCATACGGCGAAACGTACGTCGTGTGAAACAACTTGTTTTGTAGTCAACTAGTCCATCACAATGTCATGCATGAGGAGTACTGTAGGAGTTTGGCTTTCGGCTTGTACAATTCGTTTTCGCAAAGCTTCCCTTTCTTTACTTATCTTTGATATTTATGACCCACCCAAGTTGGGTGGTGTGCTGCTTTGCTGCTTCGAATTGTAGTTAGACCGCTTTGTCAAATATCGTACTGGTCTCGTCATCGTCCAGTAACAATCGACATTCTTTGTTCCGTTGGGACTGTAGCTTTTGCTCGTTTTCGTTGCGCTTGCCTTCCCCTCTTTGGTCTTTTCCATAACCTTGAACCTTCCAAGTTGGAAGGCTGTCGGTTAGCGCTACGGAGATGTGTTGAAGCTAGGTGTCAGGACGTCGAATGTTTCAGTACTCTGTCAGTTTTGTGCCTAGTTATTGCACTTTCTGACTGTATATAGTATCATGTTACAGTGATGGAGAGTTACTCTTAACTCGTATCCATATGTCCTTTTCTCTTCCACATTTATTTATGGCTCAACATCCGAGTTTCAAATTGCACACCTGATGAGCCGTCACGATCCATACGGCGAAACGTACGTCGTGTGAAACAACTTGTTTTGTAGTCAACTAGTCCATCACAATGTCATGCATGAGGAGTACTGTAGGAGTTTGGCTTTCGGCTTGTACAATTCGTTTTCGCAAAGCTTCCCTTTCTTTACTTATCTTTGATATTTATGACCCACCCAAGTTGGGTGGTGTGCTGCTTTGCTGCTTCGAATTGTAGTTAGACCGCTTTGTCAAATATCGTACTGGTCTCGTCATCGTCCAGTAACAATCGACATTCTTTGTTCCGTTGGGACTGTAGCTTTTGCTCGTTTTCGTTGCGCTTGCCTTCCCCTCTTTGGTCTTTTCCATAACCTTGAACCTTCCAAGTTGGAAGGCTGTCGGTTAGCGCTACGGAGATGTGTTGAAGCTAGGTGTCAGGACGTCGAATGTTTCAGTACTCTGTCAGTTTTGTGCCTAGTTATTGCACTTTCTGACTGTATATAGTATCATGTTACAGTGATGGAGAGTTACTCTTAACTCGTATCCATATGTCCTTTTCTCTTCCACAATAATAATAATAATAATAATAATAATAATCAACGCAATAAATAGAGTAAGCTGCGCACTCAGTACAAACACCATTAGCAAAACAAGTTTTGCTAATGGTGTTTGTACTGAGTGCGCAGCTTAATAATAATAATAATAATAATAATAATAATAATAATAATAATGTGGGCCAAGTTGTCACCCTCACCGGCTATTTGAAACGCAACTGTTCCAGCAAAGAATAGGTCTGCCTCCGACCGACACTCAGGCTTCTGGAATATGTCTTCGACGGTTTCGGGAAGTTGTCACCCTCAACGGCTATTTTGATACGCCACTGTTCCAGCAAAGAATAGGTCTGCCTCCGACCGACACTCAGGCTTCTGGAATATGTCTTCGACGGTTTCGGGAAGTTGTCACCCTCAACGGCTATTTTGATACGCCACTGTTCCAGCAAAGAATAGGTCTGCCTCCGGCCGACACTCAGGCTTCTGGAATATGTCTTGAACGGTTTCGGGAAATAGCCATACCGGTATACATGTGGGTGGGTCCTCTGGACAGATCACTAGTAGTAGTATGCCAAGCTTGTCCCAGAAGCGGCGAGCGCCAATAGGGCAGTCGCACCACCCACAGTAGCATCATCAGCTTACTTATACGATTTCGCCAGAGCATCATCGGATACATTCACGAATTTCGCGTTCAACTAACGGTTAGTTACTAGTACTCAGTACTACTAGTAGTAGCTCGCGAACACTAGCTGTTGGGTCCGAGAACTATTAATAGTATTATGCTAACTTTCGCACTTTTCGTCCTGAAAAGCGGTGTGCAAGAGTGAAAGAAAACGCGATGAAGTCGAGAAAGATGGAGAAAATGATTCGAAATTTTTTCGCACAACCGTGCCACTCTTCAGGACTCATCACTCACATCAGTGTACCAGTAACCAGGTGGGCCAGGTGCAGGTGGTCATGTAGATCGACTAAAAACTAGTAAAAAGGAACAAATCAGAAACAAGGAACCACAATACCAGTGAAGGGGGAGGTGTTGTTCAGATGAAGGCTGACGTCAGGGGTCAAAGGCGTGCACGTGAACTAACTAACAAGTACTAGTAGTTGCTTCGACTTTACCATTGGCCTTTGATAGCGAACCTTTGTGGCTTTGAGAAAATGTTGAAAACTGAAAAGACGGACAGCTTCTGAGCTACGACGGGAAGAAGGAGTCTTGCCTGAAAAGCTTGGCCGTCTTGTGAAGTCTTGACTCTTGGAGCCGGGTAGGTCGAGGTCTACGGCCTACGGCCCGTAGATGTCTACGGCCGTAGAATCTACGGGTGGACCTACCGGTTGTAGTACAGTACAGTCAGTACTACATGATTGTACTACTACTTACTAATACTAGTAGTGAGTACTAGTACTAGTCAGTAGCAGCTAGCTCCGGGTGCGCCTCACTCGCTCAGTACAGTCGTGCTGGACGGGTACGGGGTCGGGCGCCCGCCGCCCGCCGCGGCGCTGGGCGCGTTGTGCATGTGCATGAGTCATGACCCAGGTCGCTACGTCTCGTGACCCCTGGACTGCATATGCTAGATATGCTGGTGACAAACTCGAAAGTGTTTTCAAAAAGAGCTTCATAATTTTTTGAAAGTCGAAAGCTAGCTGTCTCCTGAGCACGAATACTGAGTTGTTCTTGCAATGACTGAATGAGCGAGGCAGTTAGGCTTGCTTTGTGCTTCATTGTTTCCGAACAAAAGCTAGCCGATTAGGTCTGCGCCGCCATCTCTATCTTTAGATCAGCGGTTCTTCCCCTCTCTGTACATTTTTTTCAATATGGCGATCTGTAAATTTTTCCTCGAGGGAAAATGTAAATTTGGAGACGCTTGTCGAAATCAGCATCCAGGTAAGAAAAGCCAGAAGGAGAAAACATTTGCAGCAAGCTTGAACCAGTATGAATTACGTCATAGCATGCTGGATTTTGATTGCGCAGCTTGATCTACTATTGTACTAAAATCCTGCACTCCACTGGTCAGTGCTGTGGATATTCTTGGGAATGTCTGCACGTATATTTGCTTCACTACACCATATACACAACGCACACACAGATACGCGTCCCATGATACAGTATGTATCTAGCGTACTAGTATGTATACACTCACGCTCATGATCACAGGTTCTTGGTTTCAATTTTTACTAATTGTTAGACCAGTTGGCAAAATGTTGCCAGTTAGAGGGGTTCTCAAAGGAGACACGAATCGACTGTTTATTTCAGTACCCAATATCCTTCTTTGGTCTCATCAGCAGAAGTCAAAGTGACTGGCCGAACCTATAGCAGTGAAGAGGTTTTAGACAATTCAAAAAAACAACAACAAGAGGTTTTAGACACACTTTGTACCCACATCATCATTGTGCATCCGTTCTTTTACTGTATTTTTTATTTTTTATTTATTTTTTACTGTAATTAAGTCTGACCGTGTCTACATGCTTGTTTCTACTCCTACTTGTGCCCATCAGCTAACACTGGGTATGGAAATTCTTTTACACAACACCGAGGTGGTGTCGGTGGTGGACAGGCAGGCGGTCGCGGGTACAATGCTCCACAGCAGCACCACCAACAGCAGCAGCAAAATGCCTATGGCGGTGGTGGTGGCGGCGGCGGTGGTGGTAGGGGAGGCAACCCATTTCAGTCCTGGTCCGGTAACCAGCAGGGAATGAACGCCGGTGGTTATCAGCGCCATTCTCAAGCCGGCGGCCACCAACAGATGGGTGGTGGTGGGGGAGGATTTCAGCGAGGTGGTGGCGGAGGAGGAGGATTTCAGCGTGGTGGTGGCGGCGGAGGAGGAGGATTTCAGCGAGGTGGTGGTGGCGGTGGCCATGATCAGAGGTCCAAAGGTATTTGTCCGAGCTAATCCTATAGGATAAGTGGATGTGCAATGGCTGCCTCTTCTGTATCCTTGCCTGAATGCTTTTAGGCGACGTAGATGTCCTTGTACATGTACATGCACATTCATCACCACCAGCACCATAGTGACCGTAATGATGTGCATGTTTGAGATGGTGTGCTCCCATGACTTGTTTATTTGCAGGGAGATCTTTGACATTTGCATGTGTGTGTGTGTGTGTGTGTGTGTGTGTGTGTGTGTGTGCGTGTGTGTGTGCGTGTGTGTGTGCGTGTGTGCGTGTGTGTGTGCGTGTGTGTGTGCGTGTGTGTGTGTGTGTGACTAAAAATAGTGGCGGTCAATTCATCAGCCTTGCAAGCTGTTGAATGGTGTAATCCCAACACAAGTTGCTATGTCTAACATAGCTGTTCGCTATCATCGCTTCCGCGATGGGCATGTCTGAGGTTTGAGGTATGTGTGTGTGTGTGCGTGTATGCGTGTGTGTGTGTATCACATGTTGTTGCCTTGTCTGGTTTGTAGGTGGGAATCAGGCTGCCGTTGGAACGGTAAGTCTCAGGATGTCTCAGTCATTTTTCACAGTCATTTTCACCTAAGACATAGGTGTGAAATACAGGTGTTAGGGAGGTGAAAATGACTGAATGTGACAATATGCTTTGGTTCTGGTGGTGAATATCTCACCTACACCTTTGCCGCTCAACTCGCTGTATCTGTCATTCTTATGGCGCCACATCATGCTGTGTTTGGCGGTAGGATTTGTTCTCACGATATGTTTTGGTGCTGGCATTAAATGTCTCACTTACACCTCTGCCACTGATTCTCCTATTCTTATTGCGTGGGATTATGCTGTTTTGGCGGTAGGACTTTGGCATAAAACTGCTTCTTTTTGGCCTGCATGGCATCATTGTTTCATTTCGTACCTGACGATGGCAATTTTGCCGAAACGTTGCACATAAAAGGAATCGGTTCGGCTTTGCAGTGCTGTGGGAGTGTGTGTGTCCACCCTACTGCTCTCTACAGTGTCAGTTTGCACTGAGATTGCTCATAGTGCTGTGGGAGTGTGTGTGTCCACCCTACTGCTCTCTACAGTATCAGTTTGCACTGAGATTGCTCGTAGTTCTGTAGGTGTACCTGTATGTGTTCAAGGAATCTTATCCCTATGCCCTGGGTCTATGCAGCAAAATCCGTTCAATGTCCTGACCAAGCTTAGCAGCGATGGAAATGTCCAGACCCATCAACAGCAGCGACAGCCCTTTGCCACTGGTGCGACCTCGAACAATTTCTTTCAGGCGCAGCAGCAGCAGCGACAACAGGTAGTGCCCAATGCAGGCACAAATTGGGTGAACCAATCTCAACAGCAGCAGCAACGGCAACAGCAACCTGCAGCTGCTGGGGGCAAGTCAAAGGGACCGTTGTCCTACGAGGAACTCGTGTAAGGATTGTATGCCTTTGTAACAGCATTCATAGTACAGGTGTTGTCAAATCATTTTAGCCACTTGCATTCCCTGTATGCTGGACCTAGACAGGTATCAGCTAAGTAGCAACCAGGTTAGGTGGAATGTGTTGTGATGGATATAGCGAATATTTGAGGGAGTAAGTTCTTGGCCTGATATGTTGATCATGGTGTGTAATAGAACTGGTACTCTGCTCAGTCTGTTTTTAAGGTGTATGAATGTGTACATGTGCGTGTGTGTGTGTGTGTGTGTGTGTGTATGTTTGTGTGTATGTGTTCGTATATGTGTTTGTATATGTGTGTGTGTGTTTGCGTGTGTGTATGTGTGTGCATGCATGTGTGTGCATGCATGTGTGCGTGTGTGTATGTGTGTGCATGCATGTGTGCGTGTGTGTGTATACGTGGGTGGCTGGGTACTTGCAGTGGTGTTGTAAGCAATGACATGAAGCTATGGAAAGATGGCAGCGTGTGGCCGCTGTCTTGCTACACCTTTGCCAAGGGACAGCCTAGCTTAGAAGGTGAGTGCTGGAAACCGCATGTTGGAGTACTCCTCCTTGGTTGCAGCAAGAATCTACGGTGCTGCTCGATGAAATCCGGTCTTGTGAGTCAAGTTTGCGCCTTGCACCGTTTGGCAGACCAGTGTTCGCAGGTCTAGGGCTGCGCAACGCCCAGGGGGTGCTTGAGTGACTCGACTGGATTTCATTGAGCAGCACTGTAGACTTCCTTGCAGTGAATGCTGGTAGTGTAGTGCACATGTAGTCATGTACATGCATATTCTCACTGTCATTATCCATGGTGTCCGCAGAAGGCGCAGATGTACTTTCATGTGTACCTCCGGTGCTTCTGTTCTGTTTTTCACAGGTTTGGATGATTTGTCGTTCGAAGAGGCACGCTTGGGTTGGCTCAAAGCTACGGTTGCCAACACTCTTCCGCAATATGTATGTCATCTGTTGATGTAGTTCTGCTGAAGTTAGATGCTTCCAGTTGCTTTTCCGGACTTATGTCAAAGCTGACCCTTCTGTTTGCCCTGCCCTTCCCTACAATGGCCCGTTGTGTCTTGTTCTTTAACAGGCCACTGGTTTTGCTATTTCTAGAACATGTGGTGCTGATCTCGATTGCCATCTGAATTCCTGAACATGCGCGTTACGGTGACATGTGTATTCCGACCTGGCCGATCATGGCTCTTGTGTTGTCTAGTAAGATTGGACTGTGCATGTGTTGCAGTGCGGTGTTCAGTGTTTGCCATGTACAGTATTGGGATCAGGCGAATATTGAGTACTAATACTTATTTAGCCGATAAACTGGCAGCGCCACTGTTGCTCTCAAACTCACGCATGTAATCAGGACCATATGCCGGCTGGGTACATGTATTGCTTTCCGTACGGGACTGACGATCGTTTGGGCTAGTCTCTACCCACTACCCTGTGGATCTGTCTAACGTATCTGTGTCCACTGTGTGCGCGTGGATGTGTGTGTGTGTGTGTGTGTGTGTGTGTGTGTGTGTGTGTGTGTGTGTGTGTGTGTGTGTGTGTGTGTGTGTGTGTGTGTGTGTGTGTGTGTGTGTGTGTGTGTGTGTGTGCGTGCGTGTTGTGGCTCTCTGTGGACACATGTAGACCGCCGAACTAACTGAAGCTGTGCGTAAGCAAGGTCACGTCCGTCAGCTCTATGCCGCTGGAGATGCCAGTGTTCAGCCTGTTCTGGTGAGCTGCGATGAGCGTATAATACTATATTTTGCCAGCCTGCAAAGTATGCAATGCAGGAAGTGCTTCTCTCTTGCTCAGCTGTTCTTCTTCTTCTTCTTACGCATGTAATGTCTTGCTGTTTTAACCGTGAGGTTCAGTTCTGCACATTCACGCATGTGTCTTCAATAGCTGTACTTGTACTTATGATTGTTGCTGTGCACAGGCCCAGGCATTGCAGCGATATAATACCAGCCTTCAGTCTCCACAGCAGCTACCTGCTGGCAGCCTGCAAACCCCACTCCAGCAGCAGCAAGGAGCAGGTAGCTTCTTCAACTCCGGCCTAACGCCATTTCAATCTGCGCCCGGCCAAGGCCAGCAGCTTTTCCAGAAAACGTCGACGCCGATCACAGACGCTCAGGCAGCAGCACCCCTCTCTAACCCATTCTTATCGGCGAGGAAGCCTGAAGGTAAGCTGCAGACAAGCGTGGTACACGCTCCTTGCAAGAAATCTCCCTGTTTTGCTGCGGGCTGTGTGCACCGTCGGTATTCCATATATGACCAGCGCTCTGCGAAAACCGACCTTGGGTGCTATTTTGGCGAAATTGAGTTTGTGCTGGATTGTTGACCCATGACCCTTTCTTCAACTTCTGGTGAAGTTTGAGGTGGATTGCATACATATTCAGTTAGATACAATGACAATTTCTTTGCACTTTTCCTACAATATTTTTGAGGAAAAGTAGCAAAATTCCTGGATTTTATGCAATATCTTGGAGCCAATGCTGTGAGAGTTCAAGCAGCATGATTGCAACCAAAATTTGCAGAATAAATCTGTATGTCATAATCCTCAAAAGGAAAGGTTTATGATGGCATTGGATCTTCCTGTTGTGGAGATAGACACATTCTATCTCTGTTCTGTGGATGGTGTTGCTCACGATCTGCTGTAAGAGGTATTTGGCTCTGTATGAGGATATGCCAGCCAGAGTAATGGGTAGAGGCAGGTGCAAAGTAGTGAAGAAGCTCGGATCAATGTCGGGTTAACGGATATTGATAGTTTTATCTGGTACTGTTAGTAGAACATCTAGTTATGTCTACATCTGCCGCACACATTGTTTCATAATCGGTGATATCATGGCAGTCTCTTTTACAAATCTTGCCAACCGTACTGTATGCAGCTTTACCACCAGGCTTTGTGTACGCCTGGTGGACAAGCTTCTTCGTAGTGATACTGGGCAAATACATGTACATGTAGGTTGGTACTGGCTTGTGCCCATGTGGATCTGCAGGTTAAGGGAGGCCATGAGCTATAGCATAATGCTCTATAAAATGCTTCAGCTCCACAACATCTTCCACAGGCAGTGCATTCCAGAGTTCATTCAATTCCTGTGTTGGGCTGATTTCACTCGCACTGACAGCAGCCTGCACAGATTTCAGCACTCAGGGTTTGATCCTGGGTTGGAGGCATACACAAAGACTTCCTGACATGCATGTACATGACTTCCACACCAGCCACTGACTGTAGTCTTCAGTAGTTCAGAGTAGTATTGTTGAGCCCCATCTATCACATCTCCCAGCATGCTGGACGCTCTGGGTAGCCTCACCACGTCTAGCTTTCCGCCTACATGTACACACAAGCAGCGCTCTGACTTGGTCAGGACGTGCGCTGCTGTGAGCGCTGTAACTGTAAAGCAAGGTTTCGAGTGTCACGCTCTTGAAACAGCACCAGTGCGGAACAACTACAGCCCTTGTCAAAATTGTCGCGCGCCTCCTGGTTTGTAGACAGTACTTGAACCGATTTTTCTTGGTCTGTACTCTGTTTATGGCCGGCATTGAGGGGCTGGGCTGGTGGCAAAACTGACGCCTGATCGAAATCCTCCTCCGCATGGCCGTCCAGCTCGATCAGCGTTGCGTCCTGCGATTCCACATCCGACTCTCCTCGGCACTGCTGTCATCAGAACTGCGATTGGACCAGGCCAAAAAATGACTATTCATCATGAAGGAGTTAGGATGAAACCTCTGGGAGAAGCCCACATCAATTATTTGACCTAGCGACCGTCTTCTGCTTCGTTCTGCCATGACTCTCACCTTGTGATCTTCAAAAATCGACAGACCGTGACATTTTGTTCTTTTTCTCAAAAAAATTACGAAGCACCTAAGGTCGGTTTTCGCAGAGCGCGGGTCATATGTACTCACACCATACAGCTATCATGATCGCCTGACTCTTTTTGTGCATGTTGATGATGGAGCTGATTTAGAAACAATTCTCCTGTGTTATTCTCTTTTCTCTGTCTAGGTGGTGGACTGCTGCAACAGACATCGTCTTCATCAGCATCTGATCAGGTAACTAGAAGTCGGGGTACTAGTACTTCAAGTAGTAGTCATTGATATTGTGTGCATGCCGCTCTTGTGTATGCTAGTTCGTCATGTGTGTGCAATTTCGTCATGTGTGTGCAATTTCGTCATGTGTGTGCAATTTCACCATGTGTGTGCAATTTCATCATGTGTGTGCAATTTCGTCGTGTGTGCAATTATTTCATCATGTGTGTGAAATTTCATCATGTGTGCCATCTACTGGCACCTTGCCTTGGGCTTGACCCACTGTCAGAACACGCCAAAAGGAAGTATGTGTAGGACGGTGTTGTGACTTCTGCAAGCGTTTGTTGTATCGAGGGACTTCACTGTGCCGCACATGCCCGTGTAAGATATTGACTACTGTGTCCCGGTTCGCTGGATTAGACAAGTGTCGTCACTAAGCTGTAATCTTTTAATCTTCTCATTGCAATCACCACTGGTAGCGGTTACTTATCAATACTGATGCGCTCAACTCTTTCCTAACTCTATCCCCCCCTCTCTCTCTCTCTCTCTCTCTCTCTCTCTCTCTCTCTCTCTCTCTCTCTCTCTCTCTCTCTCTCTCTCTCTCTCTCTCTCTCTCTCTCTCTCTCTCTCTCTCTCTCTCTCTCTCTCTCTCTCTCTCTCTCTCTCTCTCTCTCTCTGTTAAAACCCTAAATGCGTCTCCTGTTACAGATGTCCAGTGATTCGTCCCTTCCCAAGGCAACTGAAGCTCAACTGGAAGTCTTCCGCAAGTGCCAGTATCAGCTGGGTGAAATCCCGGAAGTGCCGCCACCGCAACAAGTGTGTTAGGTGACTGGCAGTCTATGACCAAAAGGCTACGTCACTAGAGATGCATGACACTATTATGGCAATGCCAGTACTGTGTGTGTGTGTGTGTGTGTGTGTGTGTGTGTGTGTGTGTGTGTGTGTGTGTGTGTGTGTGTGTGTGTGTGCGTGTGTGTGTGTGTGTGCCCTTGTGTGTGTCCTCGCTCCTCTTCCCTGCTGATACATCCATCCGGCTGCTGCTGTTAATATGTTGATGAGTCTCTGGTCTTTCTGTTTCTAAATACTTCGCTGGTGAACATTATCTGTACATAGCATCCACCGCTGTGGCAATTCTGAACATAGGTTTTTTTCAATATCGTGAATAGACTTGCTAAATGTGCGTGAACAAAGTTGCTTGCATAATGCAATTGGGGCTTTCTTGAACATACTGCCCCCAACTTGAAGCAAGCTATTTTGAGTGTACACATTTCATTGTCTTGTACAGTTTGAACATTCGTAATGCATGTACATGCTTGTAGTATTCACTTTTTAACTCTCTCCTGCACTTTGCTGTTGCTGCTGCTGCTACCGCCAGTGTACGTGACTTGATGCTTGGAGTCCAGTGCTTGAGACTACTGCGCTATACTGATTTTGGCATGGGTCTATGCATTGCTGGCCCTGCCGTTCTCACTACGTTTAGGCATTTTTTTTATTGCACCCTCTGCTGGCAGACTTGCATCCATACATATCTGTAAACATCTGTAAACATTTAAAAATAATAAAACAAAAACAAAACAAAAACATGGAGGGTAGATCTACACCAAGCGGCTGCTGTGTCTTCTCGAAACTAGCTGTGCTTGGTCTCAAACTTTCAACGTGAACCCAGCAACGCTGTGAATGAAGAGTGGCCATCAGTCAACAAATGATCGGGGGCGTGCTTCTTCAAGTTGCGGCCAACCAGCAGTGCAAGTACTGGTATGCATGTACAGTACATACACGTTGTCAATTTCCAGCACACAAGACCATACACAGACTGTACATGTCCCTACAAGACCATACACAGACTGTACATGTCCCTACAAGACCATACACAGACTGTACATGTCCCTACAAGACCATACACAGGCTGTACATGTCACTACAAGACCATACACAGGCTGTACATGTCCCTACAAGACTTTCTCCACTGCAAGAGCAGAATAAAAAGATCTTTCTGAATACGAAAACGATGATCTTCTCATGCTTTGTAATAGTCCTGAAAAAGACCTGCAATTATTTCAACCATAGTAACTGTCCTGCTAAAGTAAGATCTCTGCATGTGCACGATAGATTATGATACATAGTGGATAGTGGATAGTTGTTGCTTAGGCAATTTATGAATGTGAGGTAAAAATAATAATGTGGTCTGGAAATGATCAAGTAGGCAGTCTGTAGGGTGTGCATGGGCTCATAGAATCAGATTCATAGTGCATATCATGGGTATAACATAGGCTTGCATGTCCTGGCCACGGAGGGTTACGGCCTTACGGGCATACCGGCTAAAGCAGTGAAGACACCGAAGTGAGGCTGAGAGCAGACCGTGGCAGTGGGATGCCTAATGCATTCATGGCTTCCAGCTTTGGATGATGTCACCAGATAGACACGGGAGTCTTTCGATGATGTCACCAGAAAGACACGGGGGAATCTTTCGATGATGTCACCAGATAGACACGGGGAATCTTTCGATGATGTCACCAGATAGACACGGGAGTCTTTCGATGATGTCACCAGATAGACACTGAAACCTTTCTACTATTCTAGCCATGCATACTGTACACAATCATAAGTACATATATACTGTACTGTACAAACCATACTCAGATTTAATTGAATTTAGTGACAAGCAAATAGAGTATGGTCAAAACATATGCGCTAACGTTACAGTAGCATGTCTTGGTAGGAACTGGCGGCGGCGGCCGCTCAAGCTTGAAGGCAACTAGGTTACTAATAGTCAAAGCATTGCTGATACATGCGCGGGACATTTTAGTTACCTTGGTTACTATGGAGGCGAAACAGCTACTCTAGTCCAAATCAACGGTTTGTTTTGCTTTAACGTTATAATTATGCTATAGAACAGGTTTCTTTCTGCACCACCAGTTGATGCCAGCAACATAGCAATGCATTATTGTTTGGAACTTGTTGGCGGTGGTGTATACACGTTTTGCTTGGCCGATTTCGGTAGGGATCCACTGCGAGGCCTTCCGGATTCCAGTTTCCGCTGATCCGCATCGTCCGATGTCTTGTGCCATGGAGAAGCAGGTACTGGTTTTTTGGCTGTAGGTGGACCTCTTACAGACGAAGACGAAGATTGCCTCGTCGCTGTCGTGGTGCTTGGACGTGTCCTTTCGATCGGTCTTACCTCTTGCCTGGCGCCAGTTGCTTCGGGAGAGCCCGATGGCTTGACGCGATCTCTTTTCGAGGCTTTAGGTGATTTTGGAAGGCCGCGGAATGCTGGAGCACCCATGGAGCGTGACTCCATTACAGAAGTCTTGGACGTTACGCTAGATGATGACAAGCTTCGTTGAAAGCCAGTATCAATAGCGCCAGGGATGGCGGCGTTGATTTCATACACCCAGGCATGAAACAACTGTTCTATTTCCTTGTGGGCACTGCACAGGCGCTGATTCTGCGTGACAAGTAGGGACAGACAGGGACAGATAGGAACAGACAGGAACAGCAGACAGTTGCAAAGGACTGGAAGCTGCTCCGGCCATTCCTATACATCTACTGCAATCGCATTCGGGCTCTTTTACAGCAACGTGTCAGACACAGATAGTAGGTGAAATACAACCCTAGAACAACTGAGTGCTCATAGTTCACACTAGCTCCCCCCCCCCCCCTCCAACCCCAGCACTTGAAGTTGAGTTCAGCTGATGCAATCACAATTTTCTTAACTTGATCATGCTTACCATTCGCGTAAGATCTGAAGTTTTGTTGGCAGCTACGTCAATCTCACGCAGGAGCTAGTCGGGGACAGGTCGCAATGAAACAGAGAGAAAGCAGGGCTGGAATGCCTCCAAGCGATGCAGCTATACATACAATCATGCACGTGGATGTGTACGTATATAGGCATGATCACTTGTACACCAATAGTACATGCATAACTAATAATTTACTATGACCAGCTAACTTTCTTCTTCTTCCGATACAAAACTTCTGGCCCCCAATACTATCTTATTCCATCCACAGGACAACGTGGGAGTGCAGATGTAGTAAGCAACTCTGAGGTAGAAGTACCATTGAATGTAGGAAATGTTGCAGCTCGGCATTAATATAGTCAGCACCACACATCAAGTTCTCGCTAGCTGTGTGCGAGCAAACTGAACTCTAGGAGGAAAAGTGTGAATTTTGACAAAGCTGGTTAGCAACGCAGAAGATCAAAATTCAGGCCAATTAAATTGCTACTGTCAGGCCACACCAAGTTAATTCTATGTTTCGCGTTGGATATTTTCTGGAAAAGGCACGCGGGCGGGCGGAAAAAAACAAAAACAAAACTCCATGCTATGTGTACTGAGCCATGTTGCACATAGAACTGCACTCCTAAACTGTCACTTATATCCAAAACGACAACAAGTCGCCACAGGACAGCTGGTAGACTGGGCTGGAGCGATACAATAAGAGATTTCATGGGTGGCTCCTTCTGCACTTTGACGTGAGTCGAGTGGAATTCCGCTCCATCACGATCGTGGAAAATCTCGAAGTCCTTGACACCTAGTACCTGGAATCCCTGCTCGCTTGGTGAGCAGGCACTACCGTACGGCTAGGAAAAGTAGAAATTTTCATCTCTCGCACCTTCTACGTACCATCGCCCGGAATGCAAGATTATCGAGAAGCTGATAACCTCTGATCTGCCATACTGGCTAGAGAATGTTCGCTAGAACAGCCATCGATTGACTCGTCTCGGTTCTTTTTTTTTCTTGTCAAGGATTCGAAAAGGTACGCGCGCGTCGACGCGAAACATAGAAATAACTTGGTGTGGCCTGAGGCTCAGCAGATCTGCAAGTAGAGTGTACCATCTGTATACAGCACTTGAGCAGGCATGCAGCACTGCATCAAAGACATAGACGTACCTGTCTGCGATCACCTTGCAGCACCTCTGCCTGCTTACGCCATGCATCGCGTTCATGCTGCAAGTCAGCCACCTGCTGTCGCACTGCGGAGCACAGTCAGCATACAGCGCACAGATGTATGATCAGCGCATTCATGTACGACCTGATGTTACACGACAGTAAGATTACTGACTGCACGATGTATACGTGTACAGTGCTCTGTACATAGACAAGCGGACAAGCATTTAGTCTCTGAATGATCGGTACATGTGCCATGGCATTAATAGATAGAGAACTGCACGAAACATAAATGTGTTTGATGATCAGATGCATAGAGACGTTGTTTCAGTACCTCGGAGTACATGCACAACACACCCATGACCGTCATCATCATTTATACCATGGGCTGATGATAGATTCCTCAGTTTTAGGCGGTGTACATGACATACCGCACACTGGAATACACATGCTCAGCCCATTTCAACAAAACTGTTGGCTCATCCAAGTTTCATTTGATAGCATAGATTTCACACCAGCGAATAGTGTGCGTTTGGGTAGTGCAGCTTTAAGTACCGCAACCACAGTATACACAATCCTCCGGCACATACCGACACTTAAAGTGCGAGTCTAGGGCTAGGATTGTCATGATGTACAAACACGCAGCACGAGGGAAACTTACATCTCTCCACTTCGGTCATCTGTTCGCCTGCATCCTCATCAATGGCCAGTGACTTCCCAGCACTATGAGAGCGACTCAATGGCGAGTGCAGCTGGTGCACCAGCGGTACGGAGGTCTTACGGCGGGAACTTGTCGCACCACCACCACCACCAACACCAGCTGCAGCAGGGCTGCATGGACTACTGGCACTGGATGAACTCGACCGGCGATGCTGATGCTGATGCTGGACGTGGCTAGACCCGGTGGTGACGGTAGAGACGATGGGTGGCGGTGCAACGGAGAGTACTGCTTTACGGCCAGGACTGCCGGCACGCTGTGACGTGGACACTGGTGTGGATATTGAACTGCGCACTGTGTCGGAGAACAGGCAATGCACACATTCAGCCCAAGACATGTTGAGCAGGTTATCCAGGCGATCATAATACCTAGAAGAATGTCCGAGGGAGGTGACGCTTTGCTTCTTGTTAAAACAAGAAGCACTAGCTGCTATGCCCTGATAGGCTGATACCGTACCACAAGTACGGTAGTAACTCTCACCTTCAAAGGAACACAGCAGACACATGCTAAATGTACACGTACATAGCATACGTACACATTTACAGAACGGCAAGCAAGGCTGCCTATAGTTACACGCGCCTACAACTCAGCGTTGCACCTATAAGGCTTGGAGGAGGACGTCAAATACGACTTGGTACTAGTAAGAAAATACTACTTTCGGATCATATTATTTTGATTGCCGTTTTGGTGGGTGTAGACCAGGCAGTGATGTGGAACGTTCAAGTCACATAGGCATGTTTTCTATCATGTAAGTCTGTACCGAAGCTCTTCCCCAGGACAGTCCCGCCCTGCTGAAGGACTTAAGCATTCTGCTTTGTTTGTGTGCATAGCTTGTACCGCAACGTCAGTGGTAAGGTATTTTACCGGTTGTAAGTCGAACTATTTTAATAACCTAAAGCCCGACCTAAAAAGGGAAGTCGACTTACAACCGAGGTATACCTGCCCTTAAAAACCGGTAAATTGAGGCCCCAAGTCTGGAGGTCGACTTACAACCGGGGTCGACTTGCAACCGGTAAAAATAATTCTGGTATACAGATTTATACGTATACATGCATACAAATTGTGGTCGAAACAACATTCAACTAGTACACATAGCCACAAATCACCAATGCCCGACATGCGATGCTCTTGTGATTCATAATCCTGAAGGCTAGATTTAGCATCAGCAGCCATAGTGCATTTAGTGCCAGTAGCGGAAGCCGCCGCCACCACACACACACTTACACGGAGAATGCTTTCGTACAGATGCCCCTGGAACAAGACTCTTGCTGCCTCTGCGCTGGCCTGACGATGGTGGAGACATCTCGTCCAAACTCCCACTTGTGGCCGGCGCCTCACCAACCCGGATAGCATGCAGCGCAGCTGGTGAAGATGTGCGATGGGGCAGGGATACAGCACTGTATGGACATCATAGTAGTAGTGGCACACACCGGTACACATGAGGAATATTTAGAATATTAAACTTGACTGTGTAGTGTGTACGGTTTGGAAATTGTAATACAATCTATGTTCGAGTTCCAGGATACGAACTGTTATTCTGCACAATCTACTGTCACAATGTCTATAAGACCAACACTACTAAAAGCCGTGAAACGCCAAATACCTTCCAGTAAGCATAGTTACTACAGTACATCGGCATCAGCCAGGTCCGGTGGTGTAATACACTCTACAGTACACACACCAGCCAGGTCCGGCGGTGTAATACACTCTACAGTACACCGGCATCAGCCAGGTCCGGCGGTGTAATACACTCTACAGTACACCGGCATCAGCCAGGTCCGGCGGTGTAATACAATCAGGTCGGTGTAATACAATCAGGCAAAGTAAGTATGATCATCACATGCTGTGTGGCTGCTTGGTCAAACTCTACACATATTATTCCTTACTGCTTGCTTGGCATCGGTATGACGGATTGGTCCAACGCCTAAATGCACAGGGGAGGGGCGGAGAGGCACACACAAAGGGAGACACATGTTGTTGAAGAATCAGGAAAAGAATACTTCAAAGTGCAATGTAGATTGACGGACGCCCTTTATCTTAGGGCACCGGTCACCTACACAGGCCCCCACATCACCCATATCGCATCGCACACCTACACTCCCACACCGCACACACACCGCACCACACACCTGCACTGCCACACCGTACACACAGTGCACCACACACATACACACCCATAGCGCACACGTCGCATCAACCCATGGTAGGTTCCGTGAGATGAGTTCCTACTCACCTCTGCCACCCATGATGGAATCTCATCGGTGTCATTGCCAGCAAGGCCCAGCTCTGGAAACGACCTTCCGTCTGCAGTCGTGGCGGCGGACAGCCCGTCAACTATGAGAATGAGAACCAGAGCAGACACCCAATGATGTTCTCGCACTCCAGAGCATAATTGCAGCATGGACACTGTGACACTTGAAATGCTGACGATGGGTGACTTCAAGTCTTGTGCGGGGCAGGTGAACAAATAGTGTCTCAGGCGCAAGACTGCACTACTAGCATCAGTCCGCGGGGAGTTAGCATGACAAACACACATGCAGCTATAGAATTTCTGTGGATGACATAATAAGTATGTCATTCACAGAAATTCTGTTTGAGTTCAGTGTGAATGACATATCCTTGTGTCGAAAGTGAAGGATATAATCATTGCTGAACTCGGATGGTGAGCCGATATAATTATGATGAAGAAAGGAAAAGGACAAAATGTTACGAGTTATGACAAACTGTCCACCAACGTAACCAGATCTTATACCGTCAGCGAGTGCGACAAAATGGCACAACACTGACAAGGAGTACTGAGACATTCGGCGACCTGACACCTAGCTCCAACACTTCTCCAAGGCGCAAACCAACAACCTTCCAACTTGGAAGGCTCAGGTTAGGGAAGGTCCAAGAGGGGAAGGAAAGCGCAACGAAGAAGAGCATGAGCTACGCGCCACGGCAACAAAGAATGCCGAAAGTTACTGGATGATGACGAAACTAGTAAGACTATTGGACATCCCGGCCCTACTACAACTCGACGACGCACCCCCCCCCCCCCCGAACCCGAGCCTTCCAAGTTGGAAGGTTGTTGGTTTGCGCCTTGGAGAAGTGTTGGAGCTAGGTGTCAGGTCGCCGAATGTCTCAGTACTCCTTCTCAGTTTTGTGCCATTTTGTCGCACTCGCTGACGGTATAAGATCTGGTTATGTTGGTGGACAGTTTGTCATAACTCGTAACATTTTGACCTTTTCCTTTCTTCATCGATATAATCATTTTTATTATTATAATGCCAATGACAAAATAGTCTATGCTAATGACATCATCATAATTATACTTACGCTTGTATTGCGTGACGAAAGCGAGCAAACCTGTGCTGCTTGTGCTGCTACCCCATACCAAACAGTCAAACACCCCACAGGATGATAACACTATGATGATGATGATGATCTCTACAGTATGTACAGTATGATGCGGAACAAGCACAGATAATAATTATTTCCTACCTGATTCCTTCACGGGGCTATTGACACTGTTGATGGTGCGAGTAGACAGGACCTTCTCTGCAAAGCAGCAACAGCGCAGACAAGAACAGACAAAACCCATAACAATACAGACTGTGCTGGACAATAAAGGTTATGTCATTGCATCATCAACTTTGGCAAAGTTACGTGATTACATCATCAGCTTTGTCGAAATCGCGCCACAGCATTGTGCTAGCGATGGAATCATTTGCATAACCTCTATGCCCTCACTTGTACTGTATCGTTAGTAGTAGATCCGTTACCATGCGGGCATGCAAACAGATAGTTATTGTGTACCGGGTGGGTGCTGACATGGGTACGTAGCGTGGGTGAGGGCTGAACCGGCTAAGAATCAACGTTTACAAAACTTCACACACTGCTGTGTACTGCCATGAACTGCAAGACAAGAAAGCACATTCTGAAGTTGAAGTACCATGGGAGAAATTGCTGAAATCAAGAAGCTAGTTGTACATGTACAAGTGCCACGTACCTGCAATCATGATGCCATGCCAGTCTTTACAGGACAGTCCCGACACCGTGTGGAGAGCGCTAAAGACGGGGCGAGGCAGTGCATTGCCTGTGCGCTGGTTAGTGGCCGGCGAAGAGGAGGACGCAGCTGCGTTGCTGCATAGCTGACCGTGATCACCACGACCCCAGGAGTACACATGCTGATCTGTAGACATTCACGGCAACAAGGAAACTTGATTTTTTAAACCTTTCACTGCTGGCCTAGTTTTCCCCCGCCGGCTAAGCTTTCAGTGCACTTGCTTTCATTTCAGACCCTGCATGCACAGAGCGAGATATCTCGTCATTAACACTGAAAGGGTTAACGGATTGGGAGAACTTCAAAACTCAAAATGAAAGGAAATTTGACTAAGTATAATCAGAGCAAGGGCAGCAACTGTTCTATAGAGAAATGAACAACTGCCGCCACCGCCACCACGACCACCACTGTGAGTGCACTGTACTGCATAATTGACTCCTGTACAGGCAATATTATACTCTTGAATTGTGGAGACACACGTACAAAAAATCACACAGACACAGACATACACACACATACACTAACACAGATAAAGACACATGCTCGGACACAGGCACAACAAGCCAAGATACGTAGACACACGCACACACGCACATCCACACACACGCACATCCACAGAAACACACACACACACACACACACACACACACACACACACAAACACGCACCAACTGCAGATACAAATTAGTTTCTCTACCCACCTGAAGAAGCGACCATTGTGAATGCATCACCACACGCCACGTGGATAATCTCCTTCCCAAGCAAGGAACCACCTACACGCTTTGCACCTTTCTGAGATCGGAAGTTGCCAGACCCAAGCTGCCCGTAGGCATTGTCACCGAATGTGAAGACATGACCAAAAGCTACAAATGGTGAAAAGGAAGAGGAAAAAAGTTGCCCAAAGTTAGTCCAGCCATATCATAACCAGAGGCGGACCGAGCGATCTCTACAGAGGATTTCCAGTAGAGTCAAAACTGAATAGCTGATACATGTACATGGACATGCATATGGTTCCCTGGGTAGTACATTTACGAAATTTAGGGGGTTCCGGGGAAGCCCTGGAACCTCTCCTGGATCCGCCCCTGATAACACCCTTGTAGAATAGTCATGTTCCCAGGATGCTAGACAAAGATAAACAAGGATTGTGGTATCACAAGGACAGACCAGCGACTGAAAAATTTAAAAGAGAATACTAGTATTGAAAACGCATGCTATGTAATCATATCAGGATGGCTGGCAATGAATGGCACACAGTGCTGCTCAAGGAAACACCAGTCGCGCCACTCAAGTTTGCGTCTTGCATCATTTCAAGTCGCAGCCCAGTGTTCGCAGGTCTACTGGGCTGCGCAACGCCCGGCGCGTACTCGAGTCACACGACTGGATTTCATTGAGCAACACTGCAGCTCAACAATCAGAGTAGAGAATTGTTGCTCACCATCGACAGCAGCAGAGTGATTGCTTCCAGCAGCCACGTTCACGATGCGAAAGCGTCTTAATGCCTTCACGGGCTGAAAGCCTAGCTGCATGTGAACGGTGGTTATGGCAGGTTCACCGCTCTGCATACAGAGAACAGGTAGCAGGGACAATCACATGTGTAAAGCCCAGTGGGTTCTGATTACCATGGCAAAGAAGACTGTCACATGTGTAAAGCCCAGTGGGTTCTGATTACCATGGCAAAGAAGCGGGGAATAGGGATAGTGACAGTACAGAGTACCTTGCACTGCATGGATGTCTTAGGAGAACCACACCTGTTACAATATCAACAACCAAGGGCTATTGTGCTGCAAGCTAGCTAGCTCACCAGGGCATCGATTGATAAACAAAGCATAGCAAACCATGGCATACTACAGACACATATTAACGCAAGTTCACAATAGCGGGACTTGAACTAAACAGATTTGTTGCAACTCTGAAGTTTATGGCATTGGGTAACTTGTCAGTATCATTAACTATCGCTATTATGATGTCAGGACAAAAAGAATAGTTCTTACGTTGATGGATGCTCGCCGAGGTCCTATCGATTGATCTAAGCAAGACTTGTTGTTCTCGTTGCTGCCGCAAGCCAGCAAGCGGCCCGACTTCATCACAATGAATGCGTTATCAATACCGCATACAATACGGCGTATGGAACCACCGGGAGGAAGTTTGACCTGGAGCATCCACACAGAACACACAATATATTATGATAATTTGTAGTAATCCTCACCTACACTCCCACCCAGGGTATGTTGAAATTACTGTATTAAACTGGTTGTAATATTAAATGGAAACCAGGAAAACGGTGGGGCACAAGTTATGCGTTAGAGTCCACCAACTAAACCAGGTTTTGAACAGTCAGACGTGCACAAGGTAGCACTAGACTGACAAGGAGTACTGAGACATTCCATGGCAAAGAAGTGAGCTTGAGCACTGCTCGATAGCGCTAATCAACGGCCTTCCAACTTGGAACTTGGATATTAGTGATAATCCCAAAGAGGGGAAGGTAAGCGCCATCAAGCCGAACACAAGCTACATTCCAAGGCACAGTGGAGTGCTGGCTTGGTACGACAACCGGACGGTAAGACCATTGGACAATACGGTCTAACTACAATTCGACAACGCAAAGCAACAACCACCCAACTTGGGAGCCTCAATTTTATCAAGGATAAGAAAGGGAAGTGAAGCTTCGCGCTATCGAGCAGTGCTCAAGCTCACTTCACTCGGTCAGTACCGCTATTCATCTAGCCCTTGCCGCTATTGCAGCCCGGACTGGATTCCGCGGTATTGCCCTCGTACTCGTGCAGAAACCTGTACATAACTCTCCTTGCTGTACAGGGGAATATTTCAACGGCTTATTGCCATTCCAGTTTATTTCAAGAAGACCCCAAAAGGAAGAAGGTGGACATATGCTCAGTGCTAGAAGAGGTGTTCTACTATCTGCTGGTGTATAGCTCTTGCTAACTGAGGACTTAGCTGGCTGTTTCATGAGCGTCTGTAAATTGGCCATTTTCAAGACGATCATGTGTGGCGTCGAAGGGTGATGGTTTCATCAGCGTCTGTAAATTGGCCATTTTCAAGACGATCATGTGTGGCGTCGAAGGGTGATGGCCCTCATCTTCTGGAAGTTCCGCACTGGAAGTTCCGCAGGGATCGCACCTTGCCCCTCCACTCTTCCTACTGTATATTCCCATCCTCCCTGATAGTTTCCACCATAGTAGCTCCTTTCTGTTTGCAGACAATGTGACTTTTATGTATGCTCATCACTGGGCATTATCTCTCGATAAGAATCAGTCTAACATCCAGCAGGAGCTCGACAGTTGCCAGCTATGGGCCAGGAGAGTCCATGGTGAGTTCTCCCCGGAGAATACTTCCTCACTCTGCAACTACTCACTCCCCACATCATCACCAAATCGTATGGACAATATTCCGATTCGTCACCCTACTTCTGTAGTTCACCTTGGTGTAGAGCTAAGCCCTGATCTAAAGTTTCACAGTCAGTCATTTTGAAACCGTTTCCAGGAAGTTCCAGCAAAGAGTTAACCTACTCTGCTATATGGGCCGTCATCTACATCAATAATATCACCCTCCTGTATAAGGGGTACATTCGCCCTGCAGCTGAATACGCCATTCCAGTGTGGACGTATAGATTAAGTGCTGAGCACCTAGCTAGCCTTGATTTACTTTAAGCTAGAGTGCGTGGATCCATTTTAAAGTCCAGTAACACAGCTTTTGATAAATTTGAAACTAAAGAAAAGCTAAATAAGCTATGCCATATTCAATCCCTTCACTTTAGACGCCAGTTTATTTCACTGTTCACCCTCTTTATATACATCCATTCGCACCCGAATTACCTCGCAATGTTCCACATTACCGTTACTAAAAGTGAGCGCCGTCCAAACAAACTAGTCTTCCATCGTCATGGACGCATACTATCTTCAATGTTTCTATTTCAGGCAGGCACTCTGTGGAACTGTCTGCCCCCTATCACAACCTCCATCATAAAATAATGTTACTGAGTTTAAAAGAGAACTGCATAATAGGATGGCTAAGTTTCAATTTTAGAACCTTCCAAGTTGGAAGGCTGTCGTAGTGCGCATCCAAGACGTGCTAGAGCTGGTAGCCAGTTAGCTGTAGAACGTCAGTACCGTCAGTCAGTGTTGTGCAATGCTATCACATGAGTTGATTGTCATGTAACTGGTGGTGTTAGTGGACATTTTATTTTCATTATTTTAGTGGTTTGGTGAGACTCCCATGATAGGTATCCATTTACCTATGGAGAATCCGTAAATAAACAAAACAAACAAACAAACAACATTATAGCGTAACTTGTAGTTTCTTGTTCCTTTTTCTTTACTATAAATGTATCATTGGCTCTCCATCCGAAGAATTCATTGATAATAATTCTCTCAGCGTTAGTCCACAATAATTAAAAAAAGGGAAACGAACTACAGGGTCCAAAGTCTAAAGGTCAAAGGTCAACACAGGGAGTCCTGGAAATGACTGAAAAAGAAGGAACGAATGATTATGTCCAGCCGAAATACAAACGTACAAACTAGGCACATACACACACACAAACACAAATGCACGCTCAAGTAAATACATAGGCAGGCATGTACTAGCACGCGCATGCAGAAGCACTACCACGCATGCACACACGCAGATGATGTGCACCCCAAAGAACACACACAAACGGACTGTGCGCCAGGAGGAAGCCATAGACCAACACGAAGCTTTCTTCATCAGGACACAAAGCAGTCTATTTCAATTCTCTGACCTCCTCATTCCTCGCTCTCACTTCCTCCTTCATCGTCGTACTTGTCTTCTTCTTCGTCATTCCCCGCTTCGTCGTAATAGGGAAATCGCATATACTGCACATCCAGATCATCTCTGGCCATGGTACTTAGAGATTCACGCAGTCGTGGAGATACTAGAGCTCTGTCAGGCATGCGCAGCTCCTTCAGAGATGAGCAGCCTTGGACAGCGGCGGCGAACAGCTTTGCTTCATTGTCAGCATCTCGGAAATCATTCCTCGCCAGTTTGAGCTCGGAGAGCTTGGGCAGACTGGGTAGCAGGGATGCAAGCACTGTCAGAGCGCCCGACGATAGGCAGTCGTCCTCCAGGTACAGCTGGTCTAGGCATCGGCACTGACTCAGCTCACCACGAACGGTTTCTAGGAAATCTCCAGTTAGCTCATTTCGCTGAAGACAGAGCGACTCCAAACTCTCGTGTTGCTGTTGAATGATTCCACTCAGGATCGTAGCAGAGATCTGCTTCATCCCAACCTTGATCAGCCCCAGCCCTATTAGCCTCAGTGCTCCTAACAATGGTGCTAGTTGGGTCAGACCTTCCATATCCAGTACGTAGTCATAAAGACCAACGTACTGGAGATCTGGGCAGCTGCTGCATACCTTGATTATGACGTCAAGGTTGACTGCTGGATCGGTGCACTCTACACCTCCTAGGGTCACCCCCAGCAGTCCCGTACAGCGGTGTGTGTTGCTGTGGATGGTGGCCATAGCACTGCTGCTGAAGACGTTCGCGGATGTGTAGACTTTTCGCAGTGTTGACGTGTTGGATGCGATACACGCTGCAATATGGGCCGTGTGACGATCTGTGAGGTTGTTCGCCTGCAGGTTGATGTATGTGAGATTGCGTAGTAGAGCCATGCCATCAGCCATGCATGCGTACCCAGTATCACCTATACCACAGATGTACAGGTTAATGCGAGTGATGAACTGGTGATGGTGAATCATGACCGCGTTCACGGCCTGACAATCGGAGGGCGTGAGAGGAACCTCATCGAAATCTACTCCGTACTGCTTGACGATGGCTTTCATGCTGGGGATGTCTTCGATATTACTTTGCTGGGCGTTGACGTGCTCCGCGAAGACCCGGAAGGCGTAGAGGATTCGTTGCTTTCGTTCCGCGGCACTGAAGTTGTCCTGAGCCGCGAATGGCTGAGCTGTTTCGCTGGATGGAGGAATTGGAGGTAGCTTGGACGTGGGAGTGACGGTGAAGCATCGAATGGCCAATCCTTGTGCCTGGTCGGCCATGAAGTCGTGCAGAATTTGTGTACTGGCACTGGGGACGCGATTCGTCCAAATGGTTAGCAAGGAACGAACGAAGTCCTTGCAGGTGATTTTGGTGACGGCTGGGTCGATTTCTTGACGGACCACTTCGGGAGCAGACATTGCCAGGTCGATCCTGCCAGCCAGCAACTCTTCTGCAAGATGCTCCGCTTCGTCCAGCGAAAGAAACGAGGAAACGTGGTCGGCCCATTCAATGATGTGGTCGTGTGTTGTGAAGAGAAAACTCGTGACGTTGTGCCCCTCTGCTCCTGTGGAATGCTGCTCGGTATCCTGTGGCTGAGTAAACGATGTGGACTGCGGATTGAAAATGGCTTCAATCAACACATTGACGGAGCCACTGTCCAGCTCAACGGCCACTAAGCGCCAGAACATGTTGAGGCTGCCCGTGAATGCTCCAAGGCGCTGCACAAGCCAAGCGACGTCAGCTGCACTTGGATTGCGGCTAGTGAAGTAGAGAGATGCTAGAGCTTCCTGAAGTGCCAGGTGGCTGAAACGCCACTGAGACCTGGACTGTGGTGATGCCGTGTCGCAGGCGATGAGCATGCCGAGTGTGCGAGCTGCCGATGATAGTGAGAACCTTTTGAAGTCAGCATCGGTGAAGACGACTTTCCGACGGACAAGCATGTTAAAAGCGAACCGGGAGAGATCATGTAGACTTTCCTGGATATCATCGGGAACATCGTTCCAATCGGTGTATTGCTCACCATCATGCGCTGGCTTTGATTTCGCCTGCTGCACTACATGAAGTATCAGCGAGTTGAAGATTGCAGACGGTGTATTTGGCAGGCGGTGGGTGCGTCTGTAGAGGCTGCAGATTGCTTGGGCGAAAAACGGTGTGCGCCTCATTGTGGCCAGCTGTGGGTTGGTGCGAAGCTCTGCTAGCAACTTGGCTGCATCGTCTAGAGACAGGACATTGCGAATATAGTGCTCCAAACCCTCCTTCTCAAAGCCCAGCAGCTCCAGACGATGATGAAAGACAATCTCGCGGCTTTGTGTCAGCTTCATTGCTTCTGCTGAATGGCGTGACGTGACGATCAGGTTAATTCCCGGCATTTCTTTGCCACGGATGACGTCGATCATGAACTTGCTGCAGTCGGCGAGCTTGATCTCGTCGAGGCCGTCGAGAATGATACAGACAGATTCAGGATGATTGCAAACAAAATCAATGACTGTAATCTGCTCACTTGGTTTTGTGATGCCATAATTCTGCAAATCCAGCAGCTCAGCGATGCTTGTGATATCGCGCACTTCTGCCAAGCGCAGCTCCAGTGCACGCAGGACAGCGATGTTAGGCCAGATCTGACCTCTTGCCCATTCGTATGGACCCTTCTTGGTGAAGAGCATGGTTTTGCCTGCTCCAGCCGATGAGAAGGCAATGGTACGGAAAGTCTTCCCGCGCATGCGTTTTCGCATGGCTTTCTTGACAGTGAGGATTTCAGCAAGTTTCATCTTGCGCAGCTTCCTAGCTTCAGACGCAAATGAATGAACCAGCTGCTCATTGCCCGCAGTTGTGCCAAGTTTATCTGCTTCACGCATCCTAGTGTTTAACTTTCGCTTGGACACTACATAGAGATCAGCATAAAGCTCGTCCATTTGCAAGATACGTTCCTTCTCTTCATTGGTCTCCTCAATGCAGAACTGCACATTGCTGTAAGCAGCACACAGACGGCCATGGTATTTCTTCACTGCAGCAGGAAGTGAGCTTGCTCGTGCCCCCATGCCGCAGATACACAGTTGGAAAAGCAGTAGCTACTACCACTGGCACTAGAACAGGCAACAGTTACCAGTAAAGCAAACGAGAGAGATCAGCTTTTTTTTTTTTTTTTTTTTTTTTTTTTTTTTTTTTTTTACTAAGGCCACAGCTTCCAATCATGACATGCAAAGCAGCGGTGCAGCATCGCAGGCATGAATCGTGGACGTGGTGACGGGGTCTGATGGCTACAGGTAGCTGAAGCCACGCTGTATGATTAGCCACTGTTTAGAGATTTTCTCTTGCACATGTGCGGTGTTTATAGTATGTAGCTGCACGACTCATTCATACCTACTCGTTTACTTCACTGTACAGAGACTGGCAACACCAGCAGCAGCTACTATTCTGCTGTATGAGTGTGCGGGAGTAGTTCGTTTTTTTCCCTTGCTACTGTAAATGTGCTGTTCTATACTGCAAAACTCTACAGCACTGTGTACTGTCGTGCATTGTGTGTGTGTGTGTGTGTGTGTGTGTGTGTGTGTGTGTGTGTGTGTGTGTCCCGTCTTCAGAGCTGACGTCTGGGGCCATTGACAGTCTCTGGCGGCACAACGGCGTCTCTCTTGTCATTTTCAGAATGCACCTGTCATGATTGATCAGCAGACATTTTAGACAGCCAACTCAGAGTCAAACTCAGACTACACCTTACACAGCAGTTCATGGGTAAACAGTAGCAGTAGCAGTAACTACTTTTGTAAATGACTGCCGTATGCTTTCTAGAGCATAGTTTTTCTTACCATCTCGTGGTATGGTGATTTTTTCGTTAGTTTTCCGGCGTCTTGAATTTTTCCTTTTGTAATTAAGAATCTTGATTTTGTTGTTTCCTTTCTGGGAAAGTTTAGGAGTTTTATTTTGGAGTTTTTTTGTAACAAGTAGGAAACTTCACTTCTCAACCCCAAACTCCAAAGACGGTCTCTTCACTGCGGCGATTCAAATTCAAATTTACATTACACCAAATTTTCAGGCCTGGCCCGTCATCAGGGAAATGAATGACAAAATATCCATTCCTCCTTTATTCCCAATCGAACATGGTTGAACAAGCGGTCACGTGCTCCTGCGTACACCAGTCACCTGGTCACCGTGCCTGCAGGGTACAACTTACTAGCCTGTTTGACCTTTTTTGGGTGCAGTCCTGTCACTCGAGTTGAACCTTGGTGTGAAAGTTGTCGCCTGCTGGCGCGGTAACCAGGTGATTTGGGCACCCAGGACCACGTGACCGCTTGTTCAACAACATTCGGTTGGGAATAAGGGCCGAACGCTGCATCGCAGCCGTTTCAGACCAAAACCAGTCGACTCAGCGTCCAAAAGACTACAACATATGGGCCAATCGCGGTCATCCGTGCTTTTATAAGAACAAAATGGCGCTTTTAGTGACATTTTGCATACAAATCCCCATCTAGTAGGGCGCAGTCACCCAGTTTCGGTGGAAGTGCGCGAGTTCGATTGGGATACAAGTAGGAAGGGAGCGTCTCAGCTTTCTCGGACCAAGACCATTCGACTCAGCACCCCGAAGACTACAACAGGTGAAATTTTGATTTTTGCCTTAACTTCCCCTTTAACTTGAAGCTGTGTGGACCCTGGCTAGTGCCAAACGTTACTGAAGTAACGTCTTTTGCATAGCTACGGGAATAAAGTACCGATGTTTGTCACGGCCCACTGTAGGTCCAATAAACTGACCATTACTACTCATTAGCTAACACAAAGTCCTTCCTGTTCAGTATTCAGGCAGGGAGTTACCTTCTGTGGTGTGGAGTGGCACTCTTCAGATTTCAAGCCAAGCTGACCTGTCAACAACAAATAGACAGAGAGAATTGATACTGGAAATGTGTTTGCTCGTTGGCAAACTATGCAGTCGGTAACTATAAACTGTGATAACAACTGGACAGTTAAGCATTATCTAACCACGTATATAAAGAGTGAACTCGGATGGAGAGCCAAGGATTATTTACAAAAAGTAAAAAGGACCAAGGAACTCCTTCCCCTCCTTATGTTATTTCTATAACTGAGAACCTTCCAAGTTGAAAGGCTGTTGTAGTGCGCATCCAATATGTGCTAGAGCTGTTAGCCAGTTAGTTGTAGAACGTCAGTACCGTCGGCCAGTGTCGTGCAATGTTATCGCATGAGCTGATTGTTTAGTAACTGGTGGTGTTAGTGGACATTATAGTGTAACTTGTAGTTCCTTGGTCCTTTTTTTCTTTTTACTTTAGTATATAAAGAGTTACTGATATGCACAGCGAGATAGTGTAGGGATGGATGGAGGAACCGCTGGGTGGTTGGGTGGATGGATGGATGTATGATTGGGTGGATGGATGGACGGATGGGTAGATGGATGGACAAATGGATGGATGGATGGATGGATGAACGGACAAACGGATGAACAGATGGATAGATGAATGGATGGGTGGGTGAAGTGATAGATAGGTGGATGAATGAAGGGAGCATTGGTGGATGTGTCAATGGGCAGACGGTCAAATGACAGGCTGGGTAGATGAAGGCATTGACAGACGATGGTACATCGAGAATTACTTCAGAACCCTGGTCATTTGTGCTGTATGCAAACCGTTTAGCATAGCTAATATGAGTGGCTTACCCATGTCACCATTACCCCATGAATACACATCACCAGATGCTGCACAAAGAGTACACATACAATCATTGAGAAAACCAGGAAGAGATCAATCCGGCATCACCTGGAATTCACTCCATTGGCCGGCTTTCAGTGTTCCGTACGGAGTCGTGGAATGATTAAGGTTAAACAGGAATTGAGTGTAGTAACGGATCACAGGTACAGTACTACACACGAGTGGATACACTATGGACATCATAGGGTACTTCAAGGTAACAACACCCAGCTCACACACATGCACTGTTGCAGCTACAAAAAAAAACAGACGCACGGAATGCAGTGCTTTTCTATTGCATACACCGGCATGGGAAACAGACAATGCCCTTCTACGACCCACAGACTCAACACACCTGTTGCGGCAAAGACAAAAGTTGCGCCGGCAGCTATACGTCGAACGCGAGTAGCATCGCTGTCAGCTGTGAAGAACGGCACTGCAGTGGGCTTGGGCTCAATCTCATCCGTCTCAACGTCCTCACCGTTACCAAGACAACCCCAGTAGTTAGAACCAAATGCCAGCACTCGGCCCTCGTCTACAGCAAGAACAAATACAGCAAGAGAGGGAGCATTCCTCCGAGTCCGTATTACCAGGCCACGTCCAACCAACCAACTAACACGCACGCATGCACATGCCTCTCCACACACACCCTTGCACGCCGCATCACAACATGATTGTACACCTAGGAACCTGGAGGTCATAAGAAACGAGTAAACTCAATTGTCATAGGTAGTTGGAAGAGAAACACAGCTGAAAGAAGTATGGCTGATAGCACTCGAGATCTCTACACACATAATCCCCCCCCCCCCCACACCACCACACACACACACACACAGAAACACTACCATTGTATAGAGGTATATCGTATGGAGGACTTACCGGTCAAACATACGGTAAACTCATCTCCACAGGCAACCTGAACAATGGCCTGGCCGCAGAGCGAGTCGATGCGTCTTGGCTTGCGATACAATGCCAAATCACCATGGCCAAGTTGACCCAGCATTTTACCTCCACCAGAAGAAACCTATTCGTAATCGAGCAAACAGGGCACAAGTAAGTTTCAGCATCCAGGCATGTGGGCAATTTGCTTTAAAAATATTTGCACACATTCCGTCATATGGCCACATGGCAAATACATTGCAGGCATGCAGAGCATTTCATTCGCCTGTGCCACTGTCTGTCAGAGGTTCCAGCCTGTCAAGTCCTGTTTCACAGCAGATAGAGTCGTTGTAACACACCGTGATTGATAAGGAGCACGATATTGAGCAACACTTACTGCCCACGTAAACACTTCCTTCTCCACAGTTAGTGCCGCAAAGTGCCGAATACCGGCTGCCACCTGTAACAGAATTCAAACAGGACAGCATGATGGTACAACACTGCTCACCAGATACCCACAGCCAGTCATCAGTTTCTGGGTTATTTCAAGTACCGTATTTTCCGGAGTATAAGCCGCACCCCCCCCCCCCATTTTTTGCAACAAATACAGACATCTATCCTATTTATCACCGTTAATTTGATCATCGGAGTATAAACCGCGCCCCTTTTTTCGGGTGAGTTTTGAGCGTTCAAAGTGCGGCTTATATATGTACTCTGGATAATACGGTATACTACATCTCGTACCCGTATGGGCATGCACGATTTGAGGAACTGACGGGTTCATCAAGCATGGGTTAGCAATCACACCTCTGGATGGAAAAACAGATGCTATTCACAGACCCGGTGGACACAAGGAATGAATACGCTGGTTTCAAAGAGATGCATGGCAGCCATTGCTCATTCCACAACCAGTCGCAAAACAAAATCCAAATCGAAATGCATGTATCCAAAAATGGGAACTACATTACCTGTACTACTTGTAATGATTATGGTAGTAAACACCACACATGCCTCATATCATACAGCACGACCGATATGCACGCACGTTCGCCACATGAAGTCGAAGTTGCATGCCAGACTAACGCATCTGAGTAGGCAATGCCGAATACATGTACAGCATGCCAGTGTACACTGGCCACAGTCAGAAGACCTTTGCCTGTCCATACCTGCACAGCCGCTGTGGCTTTAGTCAAGACTTCAACCTGCTGTGGTACATGCCGTCCACCACCCCACACAAACACCTGGCAAGTCACGGAAAAGAAGGCAAACAGATCAACATCAAGGATTGGAACAGGCTGCCGGTCCAGAACACTTCGAACACTTGAAAACATGATTCTTGAAGGTAACCTAACCAGAGTGTATCGCCTTGGGTACAATGAGTGAAGTGGTATTCCCCCCCCCCCCCCCTCTCAAAGACAGAAGAACACCAACATAACGGTGACACGATTTTCTGGGGTACACACCACCCTTATATTTCTACACCATCAGCCAGAAACCCAACAGTGACTAACAATACGGATATCCATTTTCATAGTTCAATGTACAAGTGAAAAGAAAGAGAATTTGAGTCTTCAAGAGGGGACAACAAGGTGAAACGCAACACAGGATGGCACAATGACAGACAAGCATTGGGGACCGGCAACTGTGACAAGAGAGGGACAAGCTGTATCACTGTGACGTCGACTGGAAATGTTCTTATCTCTTTTATAAGCTGCTGATTACCCTCGTGTTATCAAGTTTAATCTCGTTTACGAGCACTACAACATAGATTCGGTTAGGGTATTACAGCGTTCATATTTACCAGCATCGCGCGGCACATTCTCACTTGGGTATTTGACTTTCACTGGTGAACAGTCCTTACCTCACTACTCCTGGAGGTAACGACCGGATAGGATTCCCTGCAGAGCATACCGGATGCTTTCCTGGAGCTGTAATAGAAGTCAAAAATAGTCTCATCACAACCAGCCATACTGACTTACAGGTAACTTATCATCGTGATGAGCATACATGCTTACCACCAGCAGCAGTAGCAGGCATATTGCAGCGGGTAGACGATGCAAATGACAACCAGTGAATGCTCGAACTGATTATAAAACTAATGGCTAAGTCACCGAGTAACTAGGGCCCATTGTATCCTCTATCCAAACTAACATCATGTGTTACTATGGTTCTCCGAAGAGAGCAAGAAAGAGAGAGAGAGAGAGAGAGAGAGAGAAAAGAGAGAGAGGGGGTAAGATGAGGTGTGACTCTCCCCAGCCAAGCAGATGGTCTTCAAAATATGAACCCTGGAGATCGGGATATCAGGTTCAAGGAGCCCAGCTAATATTGAACATTATGATAGGAGTGAATGAACACCGAGCAACAAAAATGCAAGCTGCCTAGAGCCAATTGCATCTGCCTTGGCTTACCCACCTTTTACCATTGCCTCGGTCTAGTCTTATAACCTCCGGACCAAATTCACTGCACATCACACAACATGTAGAAGCAAGAAAAGAAAGTAGAAAAGTATACCATTCCACCAACTTCTGGTCCTCATTACACGCAACGAATCCTTTAAAGCGTGTGAATGTTGATCAACACCCCCCCCCCCCCTCCCTTAAAAAAAGTATTCAATCTTCCCCTGGAAGTGGCGGAGTTAGCTAAATCAGTTTGAATCAACGGGCTAAGGCTTCCTTTCTCAATTGTGTTTAACAACTTGTGGCAAATGAAACCCAAACCGATGTACATGTATCCAGCTCTGTGAGCTCTGTGTTTTGATTGCCTTGTACACTGTATATGGGTGCACGGTGATGTGGCTGTTGGCACTTCAACTAGTGTACAGTGGTTGAGATCTCCTCGCCTTGCCCAAACTGAAGATGCTGTAACAACTTTAGTAGGGGATATCAAGGTGCTAGATACGAGAAAATGCACGCACCAATCAGGTGAACATACTCTTTTAGTTGTGCTAGCGGTGCCGAAGTCAAAACAGAGCCGATGCTTGGCCGCTTAGTTGGGTCCTGTGATTAGTCAGTGCGACAAGAGTAGAAAGCATCATCTCAGTACAATAGCCAGTCATGGCTGCCACTCATACCAGAAGGCACTCTCAAGGGTTGGTGGGAAGCCATTCTTGACCCATGGGCCCTTCTTGACCATGGACTGATTGAGACACCATAGACTACTTGGACTGAAACCATACTTGCAATAGCGAAACAAAATAATATCTGCTCCTCAATGCCAACCTGAATGCACAGCGGTAGCCAATCATTCTCTCCAAACAAACATTAGCCAAGGTAGCAGGCCGGTATAAATAACATGATTCGATGTATTCTAACTAAAGGGCATTGAAGAAGATCACCCTTTCAATCGTAGGGCAACTGATGTGTACTTGTGTATTTCATACTCATGTGCATCAATTTTACCTTGAAGTAATGCATTATGTCGTAAGATGTGCTATACAATGTCATGTAACTACACCGCGTGCATATACATATACAAGACCATAATGGAGCTCACCTTTTCCAGCATCTGCATGCACAGTGCCTTCATTTCTGGACTGTACTGTGGAGATTCATATCAAATAGAGACATCCCACAGTACAATTAGAGACATCCCACAGTACAATTTGAATCAGAATTAGTAAAATCCACCAGGGACCTCATAATGTACGACTGTCCACCGCGCATCCCCATCAGTTACAGAATGTTCTTCCTACCAATTCCCGGAACAATGTGAGCCGAGCCTTTCCCCACTCCGTCATCCCAATTTGGAACCAGCTGCCTACCTCTATCATTCCCCACCCATTTCACCCAAAGAACATCCAAAAGTTCAAGACAGCAGCTTATCACCATCTCCTCAGAACGAACTGGCACTGGGCCACTCATAGCATACGCGAGTAAGAGGGTACAGTGTCCTACCCTGCTTGGACATACATGTAATCTCTCCTCACGGACAGTCTCCTCTTGAATTTAAAAGTCTAACAGCGTTCACATCAATACTCAACTTATTCTTTTGCTCACTGAGCAATACAATCTTTCCATTTTCTTTCTTCTGTTTTCTTTTTAAATTTAATCCTCCCTACCCAATATCCCTTTGGTGCGTCCATGGAGCTATGAAGCCGAGACCTCTGGTCGGCGGAGCTTAATGGGCCCCACCACCACACTCCATCATTCACCCCAGTGTCTGGAGATATGTGGATTTTGTAGAAAAAAAAAAAAAAAAAAAAGCAGAAAGCTGTTTGGAAACCAGCACACAAACACATGGAGAAACACGCTTGTTGAAAGATTTGTATTGTATTTTATTATTTTACTTGGGCATTCCCAACAGACCCTAAGGTCTTCTTACAGGGTGCCCAAGATGAATGAAATTGTTAAGTTCCTGGCGAAATGAATTGGGGGATATGATTTGTGCGAAGGGATTCGGGAAGCGCATTAAAGCGGTCAGCACCAAGGAATGAAATAGATCTGTATCCAGCTTGAGCTTGCACAATGGGCAAGGAAAGGGAATAATTGACTTGGCCGCGGGTTACTCTATCTGTGTGAGCGCAGTCACGGCGAAGGGAGAACATGTCAGAGAGGAGTGAACTGCAGATATTGTGGATGCAACGGAACACGAAGAATGATCACTCATTGCTGCCAAATCGCCAGACTTATGTGCATGATACTGTCCAAAACGAACCATACGTTCAGAAAGAGATCCGAAAAAAGAACCCTCTCTGATTTTGACAGAGACCCCAAGGAATATAACTGCACATACAGCTGTATGTATATTGTGGATTTGTGGTGCAATTGCCTCGGAATACCATCTCGTATAAATGTACAGGATCATGATGAAGGTCCAACAATCGTGGCACGAGACAGGCCTTTTTGTGCACGCGCACATGTTGTCCAGGCGTCAGGGGCCCAGCCTCCCTGCCCATCCGACCCGCCACACACAACAACGAAACTGAACTGAGAGTTCTACATAATTTCTTGACAAGACGAGACGGACAGACAAGAAGACCGGACACGACGAGGTAAACTGAAAACTGAAGAAAAAGACTAACATTTATGGCAGCATACGAGCATGCGCGCAACAAAACACAACGTATGACAATGACGTAACCGTTACTTGGATCATGTACAAACTATACATGCAACCAAAACAAGTCAAAGCAGAACGCAAAACAAACCAAAATAAACGAAAGGACCACAACAAAAAGAGCCATGAAAAGTCTTTCTACCGATACACAACAGGCCTAAAGGAAGCAGATAATACAAGGGATCCATGGCTCCCTGGTCCTGGGTAATAGAATCGGGCAAGTGGAGGTGTTTTAGGGTGAAAATTATTTGGCATCACGGGCTACTTACTACACGTGCATACAAGGAGTTCACGGCAGGAATGTGCCTAACAGTTATCAGGAATCATGCACAGGCATATGGAAGTACAATGTAGATGCTGTGACCGCACATCCAGTAGGTACTTAGACTGACCTTGTTGTCAAGCTCCTTTGGGGACGTTTCAACTATTTCCACAGCAAGACGGCCTATTTCATTTGCCTGCGAAAGACGCCGGGGAACATTATAATGACAGCGAGAGAGTAAAAATGGTGTGGACCGTCCACACAACTCTTAATTCTGCCTCCTGGCCACACACCGCGACAAGCATGCTGTTGGTTTCTGTCAAAGTGGTGTCTTATAATGGCCAGATGTTCTTTCCGGCTTGTCAATACCAAGGAAACACAGTCAATAGGCGGTGGCTGAGTGCAGGAGTGTAACTGAATCTTGCCCCAGAAAAGAAGTATGCACCCCCTTTTTTATCTCCCGGTAAGGGACATCAGCTACCAACATATGCACCTGAAAATACATGGCAGTAATTGAGAATCAAGAATGCAAAGATGCTACAACAAACGGTGGCGGTTCACTAAGAAACGTAGCAATGCAGCAGGCAACAATGCAAACGTATTCGAACATAGCATCAGATAGAAGTAACCACAAGCAGAGGTGAACTACAGCAATACAAACAGGTATCTAATTACGGTGACTGCAAGTACAGTAAAATCTGTCAAGGCAACCACTCGGATAAGGCGACCACCTGTCCCAGATGACCACTGCAGCCAGAACCAAGCCGGGATGCTCTTTCCACTGTCAAATGACCCTGGATTAGGAGACCACCTTCTTACAGCCGGAGACCACACTTTGAAGGTCCCTCAGTGAGCGGTTCACGGTCTTAGACAGGTTTTACTATACCCAGGCTTGCAGCTAGTCTACAATCCGGCAGGCGCATCAGCCAACCACAGCCGGTAACTTACTGCGAAGGGAAGTCGCCGTGCAGCCATTTCATACAGTACGCAGCCTACAGCCCAGACATCGCTGCCTTCATTGTATCTGGGGTGAAAGAAATTGTAAAGCCGTATGCAAACACATATCAATTAACTTGCTACACCTACATGATCGACTGGGGTCTATACAACCTAGCATTTTTGCATAGAACTATTATTGGAACACATATATTTTCCACGTCACTCATGAAGCCCCTATTCTAACGTTATTGGTGTCCATATGCGAGGCCAGAGGTCGATTTCAAAAGCTTTACTTCAGTCTGAAAATTTTGAAGGTGATGATTGCACTTGTGCCGACATCTCGTCAAGCTGTTCATGTGGTTCTAAGAGTGATAAGCCCATAGGAAAGAGGACCACTCACAGTTCTACAGATTTAGGCCAACAATGGCTTCAACTCTGATAAGGATTCACGTCAGTGATGCAGCAAGTACCTATGCCAGACGGTTCAAGTAACACATGTCATGAACTTGGAGTTATACGGGCTCAATTCTATGCAAAAGGATCCACCATGCTCTCAAAGCATTTCGAAATCAGTCATTGGTATCCACTTCTAATAACCCAGCCTGTTCGTATATAAGCTGTACAGGTGGAAACAGTGGGTAGGAAATGTTGAAAAAAAGCGGTACCATCAATCCGCACCATATTTCAAGCACCAGTAATCTATAAATTTCTATTGTATCCATCACAAGCCGGTTTCAGGCCACTCAGCAAACACTCCAGTTGGACAAACTTGTTGGCACATGAAAATACAACGAGTCGATGGTAGCTGTCTTACATTTCTCCTTTGTAAATTTCCGGGGACATGTAAGCCACTGTTCCGACATTCTACAGGGGCATCACAGCAGACAGAAACGACAGTAAAAATGAGCAAACATGGAGGATATTGGCAATTTCTTATTAAAATTTCACCATCGCATGGGGGCGTGCGGGGCAGGTAGTGGTATGCTGACTTCACACGGCTTAGACAAGCATTGATTCGTGCAGGTTGGCTGATCGAATTTGCCAAAAGTCATAACCCGTTGGCACTGCTACAAGCGATGTTATAAAGCAGACTAATAAAACAAGGTCACTGTTGGTAAGACAAGTTCAGACAATCTGCAATGGAGCAAGGGCAACTATGCATTGTCAGTGCTACACTTGTATCTGATCACTCTGGTACTTCTGCTTTCATGGTATGGCCCACCAGTGTTCAAGCAAATCTGCAGGTGCATCAGGAACTTACTGAAGTGACCGCTTGTCTTTCAGAAGCCGATAGGCTCCGAGCCAATCCGAAGTCGCCCAGCTTGCACAGGCCAAGCTTGTTCAAGAAGATGTTCAAGCTCTTGATGTCTCTGGTTACGGATGACAACAGACGGAACAGCTAGGCGACTAACAACTTCTATCTTATTACAGCAAAGCTTGGATATAACAACATAGGCATGGATGCAGGTCATTAAAAACGATGGTGCACGCAGCAACGTGACGTCCAGCATACCAGGACAGGCAAAAGTGATCTAAGATATGATAATGCATTCCATATTGCTTGCCTGTCGGTGACCCCACGTAAAATTTATAAAAAGAGTTTCTAGGGAGACCAGGGAGCACAAACATCCACAAAAAAAGGTTGTTTATGAAGCAACATTTCACCCCCAAACTGTTGGAGCCTCCCTAAATAATGCGTAGAGTAAAATCAGTTGAACTCGGATGGTGAGCCAATTAAATTATGGAAAGAAGGGACTGGTTATGTTGGTGGACACAGTTAGTCATAACTCGTAACATTTTGTCCTTCTCCCATTTTTCCATGGTAAACTAAGTCAGTGACCACTGTGATATGGCCATCACAAGACCACCACCTGTCGTAAGACCTGTCATTTCAGGAGCCTGACCATATTGCTTTCAAAGTATTCATACTCAAAAAAATCTTCACATATCCCTCGAAAAGGAAAGAAAAGGAAAGAAAAAAGAAGAAAAAAAGACTTCAACAAATAGTCAAAGCTGGATAGGCCCCTTGCCTACTCCGGGCCACACTCCCCAGCTGCGCAAAAGGTGGGACTTTCCATACTGGATTGTGCACAGTTCCATCCCAGGCACCGGACTGCCTGCACCTCAGTGGCATGTCACCGTTGCACACACAGCAGTGCATACAAGGCTTCAACACCATGATTATCGTGAAGTATGCACTGAAATCACTTCACAGGTAGAACGTTGACGGGGCCGAGCTAAGCAGCGGGACTTTTCAACGTACTGATACTGCTGAGTAGAAAGAACTTGACAGGGTTTGACCTGATCACCGTGATAAACCGATTGTTGACTCAAGAGTGGAGTTGCGTAAGTTGTGAGTTTCTGCTACACGGAACTACAGTCAACTTCGCCTATAACGACACTCGGCGGGGCATCAAAAAGGTGTCCTTATTCGCGAAGTGTCGTTATACCCTGCACCTATTCCGTAATTCAGTACTTTCCGATTTCTAGGGTACCCTGTAAGAAGGCCTTAGGCCTGTGGGGATTGCCCTATCAAAAATTTGATAATAATAATAATAATAATAATACCCGAAGTCTCATTATATGTATTACAGTGGGATGGGACTTTGCTCTGGGCATGGAAATTCTGTCGTTATTCGCGAATTGTCGTTATATCCGCAGTCGTTATTAGCAAAGTTGACTGTACATACCAAACTCCGTGTCAACTGCAGTGAAGTTTGACACAGATTTTTAGTACCTTGCGCCAGTTCTGCTGTGCGTAGCATGCTCAAACTTCCCGCCACGTGTACTCTGTGCGTTCAGTTTTCACACGGAGACCAGTCCGTGTGAAGCGTGCATCACACGGAAAACGGCATGAAAAAATCCGTGCGAAACTTGATCCCGTACCGCGACGAGGTTTCCATGCGTACTGTGGTATGTTATACCGTGTGGCAGAAACTCTCTAACAACGGCATCATGAGCTGTACATATACATTACCTATGAATTATGCTGCGGTCATGTACATAGTTGACAGCCGAGACAATCTGGTAAAACATCCACAGAATCCAGCGCTCGGCGAACAGCTCGTCGTTGGTCAAACCCGTGTAAATCTTTCTATTCAACGTACCACCTGCGGTGCGTCACGTGTGTGTGTGTGTGTGCGTGTGTGTGTGTGTGTGTGTGTGTGTGTGTGTGTGTGTGTGTGTAGAGGGGGGGGGGAGGATAAAAGAGAGAGAACATCAATGTTTTACACTTAAAACTATTTTATAATACACCTGGGAGATGCACCATGTTCTCATTTCTCAACACATCTGTATATCGTAAAGTCTATTCTACTGCCTGGGCACATTCTACATTGGATAATAAGTCTCTAGAAAAAGCATGCTATGTGCACTAAGTTACTTACTAAGAGTGCTATCCGCTTTTTTTTTTTTTGCAACGCTCAGGGTACAATAACTTCATCATGCAATGACTAGCAATGGTGATGCCTGTGCAGATGGCTATGCAATCCCAACAAGAGAGCTTTCCTGAACCAAGGTCTGGCTATTTTCCAGGTTGCCACTTCACAAAGGAACAAAGCTTATCCAAGCAGTACTTGACATACATGTACGCAAATGCCACCATTGTCACAACTGCCCTGGCCCAAGGCTACGGCATTCAACAAGCCAAGAAAACGTACCGTTGGCGTACTCCATTTCAATCAGCAGCGTAGACCCGTCCATAAAGTCGTTGTAGTACGCGATGATATTGGGATGCGAGAGGAGAGACAGCAATGAGGCCTCTTGCATTGCATGGAACCTCTGCTTCTCGCTAGCATTCATCAACAGGATCTCCTTCCACACTACAAGCGAGTTGTCCTGCACATGGAAACCATAGAGCAGGCACAGGGAGAAAATAATAATGACTCGTAATTGCTAAGACATCAAGGTACGTCCTTTTAGAACACAGTTATTATATACTTTGAGGTATAAGGGGCACTAGGAACTTAGAGGCCACATGCCTATAAGGGGCACTAGGAACTTAGAGGCCACATGCCTATAAGGGGCACACTCCGAAAAACATAGTTAAAACTGATAAAGCAAGTAATGATCCACCATTTTTTGCATTGCGAGAACTGATCGCAGCATTATACGCATGCTGCACCGGGATAGCAAACCTATGTCTTGAATCGGGTTAAACAAACATGGGCCAATGGATACACATGAAGAGAGGAGGTCAAGTTGAAGTGTGTGACAGAAAAAGTTTCATGCTGAAACGATCATCTGGTAACTCATAATGACACCCGGGGACTGCTTGTTATAATACTGGCTATGTGTGGGTCATGGCACCAACATGCTGGTGAAGATCAGTACAGAGCGGGTGTCACCCACGTGCAACATACTATGAAGTAGGCGTGCGTGCAGTCCTCAAGAGGTGTTGGATATCAGATAGTATTCCAGCCTGCACTATGCACGGAGGAGTGTGCTCACTTCAACTAGTTTTTAGCATGTGAGTTGATACCCTCTCTTTAACAGCTTCACCAACTATAAACGCATCATGCCTCACGTCATGCCTGCAATTGTTCTCATTCTTTGTTCTAGTAATATAATGAGTAGTCGCCAGGTTCTATGATCAGTTGATGATTGCTTCCGCAAGAAACTTCAAGTTACAACAACATCCGACCAGACCTCTTATCGTCATATGCGGTGCAGATGCATATAGCTGTGTACTCCGCACATTAAGCGCTTTATTTGGCAGTTGGCCTAACTTTCTACTGTATGCAGGGCAATGGTCAATGGATTGAGGGTAACGGAGATGACTGACATCATACGATCAAAGACTGTGATCTCTGAGATGGCTCAACACCAAATTGACGTTGCTACTCTGCTAGTGAAATCTTGAATCACTTGTTGGAGCATTTGCACACTGTGTGTGTGTGTATGCGTGTGTGTGTATGTGTATGTGTGTGTGTGTCCACCTGTTGGAAGGCTCCCTTCTTGTCAGAGTATGTGGAAGGTGGACTAGTTTCGGCTCCACAATCCAGTGTGTCGTTACTATAATAGCTTTCATGACTGAGGTTGTTGGTATGTCTGTTGGCTCTGGGTTCCCATTACACAGTAGCTGAGGCTGGTTGGTAAAGTAGCTCCCAATTTCAATTCAAGGTACCAGTGCATCTAGTGTCTGCTTCTATCAAAGCAGCGTGCTGTCTATACTGGTTACCCCAGCAAGTGTAGTGTGTGCATAGGTAACTGTCTTGGCCGTTTTATGCGGCGATGTACTAAGTGTGTTGTAGAACAGGTGTGCATTGGTGGTCGATTCACATGGGATTAGACAGTTATCTGGCGCAAGTCTTGATCTGTCTCATTCAGATCTTGTTTGCTATCGTTGCTATAAGAGAAAATCTGTGGGTACACATCCAGTGCATTAATTTTGCAGATTTGCGTGCTTCTCTTGCGACGGGCGTACACATGGTGGTACATGGTGTGTGTGTGTGTGTGTGTGTGTGTGTGTGTGTGTGTGTGTGTGTGTGTGTGTGTGTGTGTGTGTGTGTGTGTGTGTGTGTGTGTGTGTGTGTGTGTGTGTGTGTGTGTGTGTGCTCTTCCATAGGTAGCTGGGCAATGTGTGAATCGCAGGGCATAGTGAAGAAATCATGTCAATCGATGACTCACGATCCACAAGGCCACAAGTTTGGCTGATGAACGTGTTCAAATGAGGGAAGTTCAGATAACCAGCGCTCGGCTGCGAACACGATTTTATCGGCATACTGTTATGGTATGCGTATGTCACTAGTCAGTCCATCACCCTGGCTAAACCAGAAGCGAACTGCCAAGCGGTAGCAGCTGGAAGGTGGTCTGACTGTAATTCCTACCATGTCCTCCCTCCTTTTTCTTTTATAACTCTTAGGCAGGGTTGTGTTTGACGTAAAAAATAAAAAAATAAAGTCCCAAGCATGCCATGCGAATGAGTGCGATCGGTGTCGAAAGGCAGGGGATGGTATTTGGGGGGTTGTGTGCAGTGTTTTAAGGCCACAAGTTCACAGGATTTCAAATGACCCAAAACTACAGAAATGACAGCAATTATGCTGACCGGATTTCTCTACATAGATTGTGGACTCCCACCCTCATACAAAACCTAATACAAAATGCGTAATGCGTAAATGGCTTCGGATATTTCGTTATTACGCACCTCCAGACGTCGGTATAAAACAGCTTCACCGAATGCACCGCGTCCCAGGATCTTGACCAGCTGGTAGTCAGCGGTGGTATCAGCCATCTCCGAGGTCTACTTGCTGGGAGTAGGCTCCGCTACTGCCGCGCAGATGTACACTATTTGCCCTGTCCGACACAGTAACGCAATGGCAGGCAGCCGGTAGTTGAAATGAGCAATTTTTTGCTCAATTTCCAGTCCGCACCCAACTCGTGCTTAGCCTGGTTTCGCCGGGCTAGATGCAGTTCATGCTCCCCATTTCCACGAGTGGCCAGGAGGAACGAGCTCCGGCTGCTTAGTTTGTATTCTTGGTCGCCATTTTACACGCTGCTGCTTTCTTCTTCTGCACCTCGACTCCGGGGTTAGCTGAGGTCAACACCAACCATCGCCATCGGATGGCTGCTTCAGAAAAAGATCATCTGGAATTTTTCATGTGTAAATGTACCTTCTCTGCATGTTATTGTCAGTGTTGAATGAAACCGATCCTGCATTCTTCACGCATGTACTAGTACATGTAGAATCTACGCGTCTGTCTAGTGTCTTGCCACACTACATGACTGTAGTGTACTAGTAGTACATCAATACATGA